AGAGCAAAAAGAAAAGCAGGAGTTGCAATTCTCATCTCTGATAAAATATACTTTAAAGCAACAAAGATCAAAAGAGACAAAGAAGGCCATTACATAATGGTAAAAGGATCGATATAACAAGAAGAGCTAATGATCCTAAACATATATAGACCCAATGCAGGAGCACCCAGATACATAAGGCAAGTTCTTAATGACTTACAAAGAGAATTAGACTCCCACACAATAATAGTGGGAGACTTTAACACTCCACTGTCAATATTAGACAGATCAACCAGACAGAAAATCAACAAGGATATCCAGGGCTTGAACTCAGACCTGGAGCAAGCAAACCTGATAGACATTTACAGAACTCCCCACCCCAAATCCACACAATATACATTCTTCTCAGCACCACATCACACCTACTCTAAAATTGACCACATAATTGGAAGTAAAGCACTGCTCAGCAAATGCAAAACAACTGAAATCATAACAAACAGCCTCTCAGACCATAGTGCAATCAAGTTAGAACTCAGAATACAGAAACCAACCCAGAACCACACAGCTTCATGGAAACTGAACAACTGGCTCTTGAATGTTGACTGGATAAACAATGAAATGAAGGCAGAAATAAAGAAGTTCTTCGAAACCAATGAGAACGAAGACACAACATGCCAGAATCTCTGGGACACATTTAAAGCAGTCTCTAGAGGAAAGTATATAGCAATAAGTGCCCATATGAGAAGAATGGAGAGATCCAAAATTGACACCCTATCGTCAAAATTGAAAGAGCTAGAGGAGCAAGATCAAAAAACTCTAAACCCAGCAGAAGACAAGAAATAACTAAAATCAGAGCTGAACTGAAGGAGATTGAGACACGAAAAACCCTTCAAAAAATCAATAAATCCAAGAGCTGGTTTTTTGAAAAGATCAACAAAATAGACAGACCACTAGCCAGATTGATTAAAAAGAAAAGAGAGAACAACCAAATAGATGCAATAAAAAATGATAAAGGGGAAATCACCACAGATTCCACAGAAATTCAAACCATCATCAGAGAATATTACAAACAACTCTATGCACATAAACTAGTAAACCTGGAAGAAATGGATAAATTCCTGGACTCCTGTATCCTCCCAAGCCTAAACCAGGAGGAAGCTGAAACTATGAATAGACCAATAACAAGGGCAGAAGTCGAGGCAGCAATTAAGAGCCTACCACACACAAAAAAGCCCAGGTCCAGATGGGTTCACAGCCGAATTCTACCAGACATACAAAGAGGAGCTGGTACCATTCCTTCTGAAACTATTCCAAATAATCCAAAAAGAAGGAATCCTTCCCAAATCATTCTATGAGACCAATATCATCCTGATACCAAAACCCGGCAGAGACCCAACAAGAAAAGAAAACTTCAGGCCAATATCCATGATGAACATAGATGCAAAAATCTTCAATAAAATATTGGCAAGCCGACTGCAACAGCAAATCAAAAAACTTATTCATCATGATCAAGTAGGATTCATCCGGGGATGCAAGGCTGGTTCAACATACGCAAGTCTATCAACGTAATTCACCACATAAACAGAACCAAAAACAAAAACCACATGATTATCTCAATTGATGCAGAGAAGGCATTTGACAAAATTCAACAGCCCTTTATGCTAAAAACCCTCAATAAACTCGGTATCGATGGAACGTATCTCAAAGTAATAAAAGCTATTTATGACAAACCAACAGCCAATATCATACTTAATGGGCAAAAACTGGAAGCATTCCCTTTGAAATCCGGCACTAGACAAGGATGCCCTCTGTCACCACTCCTATTCAATATAGTACTGGAAGTTCTAGCCACAGCAATCAGGCAAGAAAAAGAAATAAAGGGTATTCAAATAGGAAAGGTGGAAGCCAAATTATCTCTATTTGCAGACGACATGATAGTATACCTAGAAGACCCCATCGCCTCAGCCCAAAAACTCCTGAAACTGATAAGCAACTTCAGCAAAGTCTCAGGATATAAAATCAATGTGCAAAAATCACAAACTTCCTCTACACCAATAACAGACTTAAAGAAAGCCAAATCAAGAACGTACTGCCATTCATAATTGCTACAAAGAGAATAAAATACCTTGGAATACAACTCACAGGAACGTAAGGGACCTCTTCAAGGAAAACTACAAACCACTGCTCAACGAAATCAGAGAGGACACAAACAGATGGAGAAACAATCCATGTTCATGGTTAGGAAGAATTAATATCGTAAAAATGGCTATACTGCCCAAAGTAATTTACAGAATCAACGCTATACCCATCAAGCTACCATTGACTTTCTTCACAGAACTGGAAAAAACCACCATGAACTTCATATGGAACCGAAAGAGAGCCCGCATAGCCAAGTCAATTCTAAGCAAAAAGAACACAGCGGGGGGCATCACACTACCGGATTTCAAACTATACTACAAGGCTACAGTAATCAAAACAGCATGGTACTGGTACCAAAACAGAGATATAGACCAATGGAACAGAACAGAGGCATCAGAGGCAACACAACATATCTACAACCATACAATCTTTGATAAACCCAACAAAAACAAGCAATGGGGAAAGGATTCCCTGTTCAACAAATGGTGCTGGGAAAACTGGCTAGCCATGTGCAGAAAGCAGAAACTGGACCCCTTCCTGACACCTTACACTAAAATTAACTCCAGATGGATTAAAGACTTAAACATAAGACCTGGCACCATAAAAACCCTAGAAGGAAATCTAGGCAAAACCATCCAGGACATAGGAGTAGGCAAGGACTTCATGAACAAAACACCAAAAGCATCGGCAACAAAAGCCAAAATAGACAAATGGGACCTAATGAAACTCCACAGCTTCTGCACGGCAAAAGAAACGGTCTCTAGTGTGAATCGGCAACCAACATAATGGGAAAAAATTTTTGCAGTTTACCCATCTGACAAAGGGCTGATATCCAGAATTTACAAAGAACTCAAACAGATTTACAGGAAAAAAAACAAACAAGCCCATTCAAAAATGGGCAAAGGATATGAACAGACACTTTACGAAAGAAGACATATATGAGGCCAACAATCATATGAAAAAATGCTCATCGTCACAGGTCATCAGAGAGATGCAAATCAAAACCACATTGAGATACCATCTCATGCCAGTTAGAACGGCGATCATTAAAAAATCTGGAGACAACAGATGCTGGAGAGGATGTGGAGAAAAAGGAACACTTTTACACTGTTGGTGGGAGTGTAAATTAGTCCAACCATTGTGGAAGACAGTGTGGCAATTCCTCAAGGCTTTAGAAATAGAAATTCCATTTGACCCAGCAATCCCATTACTGGGTATATATCCAAAGGACTATAATCGTTCTACTATAAGGACAGATGCACACGAATGTTCATTGCAGCACTGTTTACAATAGCAAAGACCTGGAATCAACCCAAATGCCCATTGATGATAGACTGGATTGGGAAAATGTGGCACATATACACCATGGAATATTATGCAGCAATCAGAAATGATGAGTTCGTGTTGTTTGTAGGGACATGGATGAATCTGGAGAACATCATTCTCAGCAAACTGACACAAGAACAGAAAATGAAACACCACATATTCTCACTCATAGGCGGGTGATGAAAAATGAGAACACATGGACACAAAGAGGGGAGTACTAAACACTGGGGTCTATTGTAGGGGAAAAGGGGAGGGCCAGTGGGAGGGGGAGGTGGGGAGGGATAGCCCGGGGAGAAATGCCAAATGTGGGTGAAGGGGATAAAGCAAACAAAACACACTGCCATGTGTGTACCTATGCAACTGTATTGCATGTTCTGCACATGTACCCCAAAACCTACAATGCAATAAAAAATAAAAATTAAAAAAAGAAAACTGGAAAATAAATTAAAAACAAAATAAAAACCATTAAGTGATTAAAATTTTACTATCCATATTTCTAATTTTTATTAGAATATTTTATTTACATATTTGTATACTTGGGATTATATTATGTATGACATTTGTGTCCTGATTTTTAAATTGAGATTACACTCTTACATCACTAAAAAATTTTTTCATGGTTGTATAGGTATTTCTCCTAATAAATGTAATCTGTATGTTGTATACAGCTCCCCAGTGGAGGGTGTCCATTTGTGTAGGGAGGGCCTTCTGGGACTCATCTGGAGACAAGACGAGTGTTCAGGCTGCCTGGGCACTGACAATGCCCAGTGAACATGTAGCCTTGCTGATGCAGAGTTTAGTTTCTGAAAGCTTCATATTTGTCAGTGCCCTTATGTGGAAACATGGAGCACAGAAATTGAACAGGAGTTTGAACCCCACACAGAAATGAGCTATGGCACTGTATGAATTTCAGCATCCTGTATCTGGCAAGCCTTGACCTTCTTGTGTCACCAGCCATTTTGCCTTCCTGGCAGGAACTTTGTGGGCCAGGCAAAGTTACACGAAGACATGGTGTATGTGTTCCTGCTCTGTATGGTCATTTCCAAACCTTTTGCATATGCTTGGCTAAGTAAAACAGAAACTGACAGCAAGTGCGGAGGGGTCTCTTCCTACCAGTCAGTGGTCCAATGGAACTGCTGCTGTCTTTTCCCACATTTTTCAAAACAGTGAATAATTCTTTAACAAATATCCTTGACACAGTTCAATTATTTCTTTAATGAGATTTCTAAAAGTAAAGTAACAATCTGAAATATAGAATTGTTAAGATAGCGACTTACTGATTCAGAGACTGACTTGGATATTTAAATGAATCCTAGCTTTTATACTCAATGGTGGTAGAAGACCTGAATATTTTCAAATCATGAAAAAAATAGTTTAAATATATTTTTCTAAAATTTTATTTACTATTATAGTTTTTCCTAGATTAATAAGCGCTTTCCAATTCACGCTAAACCAGATTGGTCATCTGGTTAAAGTATCTATATAGTAATCAAAGTGTTAAAAGATATTTTACCAATGGTTGTTAAATCATCACGATTGAAAAAAGAAAGCATTACCGCATTTTTACTGCCAATGAAGAAAACAGATTTTTCTCCAAATTCTACTCCATCACCTTCACTTCCATTAATTCCTTTTTTTTCCACTTCAGCTTTTGCAATTTCCCAGAGAGTTTCACTACATGAGAGGCAGAAAATAAAAATTCAGAGAAAAAGAATTTTCAAATATTTATTTCAAGCTCAGAGAGAATTTAGTTCAGTAAAATCTATGACATAAATGAACATTATTTTCTGAGGAACAACAATTTGGTAAAACATCTGAGGATTAGTCATTCTATGATTTTGTTTTTCTTTTGTTGCTTTGAACTAGTTCTTTGAAGAATACTGAAATTGATAAGCAGAGCCTTTATCACCAGGATGTGAGGTTGTCTTATTTGGGGCTTCCCCTAATGTTCATAGCTGAGTATGTTGGCTTCTCAGACACACATGAAGGTACAATGACTTTTGGGAATGTACATCTTGAAAACCACAAACACTTAGGTCACCTAGGAAGATGGGGAAAGTACAAAATTGGTGTATCAAATAATCTTTGCTCTCTGAAACGTTTCTTTTTTTTAAAAATGTTTTAGCTAAAAACTTTTTTAAAATATAAAAGTATATGGGAGGCTGAGGTAGGAGGATCACTTGATATCAACTTAAACCCAATCTCTACAAATAATAATTTAAAAATTCGCTGAGGCTGGACGCAGTGGCTCAGGCCTGTAATCCCAGAGGGATTATAGGATCAAGTGATCTACCCACCTTTGGGAGACCAAGGTGGGTGGATCACTTGAGGTCAGAAGTTTGAGACCAGACTGGCCAACATGGTAAAACCCCATCTCTACTAAAAAATTAGCCAGGCGTGGTGGCACACACCTGTAACTCCAGCTACCCAGGAGGCTGAGGCATGAGAATCACTTGAACCTGGGATAAGGTTGCAGTGAGCCAAGATTGTGCCACTGCACTACTGCCTGGGTAACAGAGTGAGACTCTGTAGAAAGAAAAGAAAGAAAAGAAAAGAAGGAAAGAAGTTAGTTGGGTGTGGTTACATGCACTTGTAGTCCCAGCTACTAGGGAGGCTGAGGCAGGAGGATCATCTGGGCCCCAGAGGTCGAGGCTGCAGTGAGCATGATCACATCACTGCACTCCAGCCTGGGTGATAGAGTAAGGCCTTGTCTCAAAACAAACAAAAGGTATAAATAAAGGAAAAAAAACCTAAAATCACAGACATTTTGAAAACCATCCTTTCATTCATTTCTTTACATAGATATATAATTTTATACAATAAAATCATATATATAAATTAAAGCTTAAGTGAAAATGGAATATTGAACTCAAAACTAACTATGGGCAAGACCTGATAGGTCCTAGACTGATTCTGCTACTTTCTATGTATTGTAAAGTCGGGCAAATTACCTAAATCCTACATCCCTTTATTAATTAAACAAATATTTATTGAGCACCTAATATATGCAATCCTCTGTGCTACTGCCCAGGCTGAATTGTTTCCCTATGGCTAAAATGCCAATAAAAAAGAATACCAGCTTTATAGGATTGTCACAATTGTTAAAATAAAATTGTAACCTATACAATTACACAAATTATTGAGGGCTTATAATTGTTACTATTCAAGAACCAAGAATAAAGAAAAAGGGCCAAATCAGGAGTCCTTAAATGTCTGCATTAAAATTCATGCATTTATTTCACAGGTGAGCCTTCAGAACTCAGTTTGGGCCTCTTTGTTCCTCATTTACACAACATTCTTTCAGAATGTGAGGATCTGCTTTCCAAATACTCAGCAGAGAGGACATGGAGGTGCTGGAGTCAGGCATGTCACCTAACTATAACCATACCTTTATAACTAGCAATTTTCCACACTATGCCAAGGGCAGAAAAAGATTTATCCCGCTCTGTCATGCACTCACTCCCTGACCCCTCTCCCCGACATGTTTATAAACTGGCGAGAGACGGTTTAGGACTATCTTGAGAACAGGTAATTGAAATGACCATCACGAATTGAAGAGCTAGAAAATAGTTTACAAACCCTCTCCCATTTCCTCCGTTAAGTGTGATGCTGTACTTTCCATAGTGCCTTTCAAGCTTTCCCTCACTTACTACTCCGAATCCCGCATCAGGAGGCGAGGCCCCCGGGCAGAGAAGGCTTTATGGTCTAGCTCATCACTTCTCCGGGGGCAGTCTCTGGCCCGCAAGAAACTTTTATTCAATCACTGAAGGGTGCAGTTGCTAATCTTTACAAATCTCTTACATTTCTACCTAGGGTATTTTCTTTCCTGTTTGCGGCAGAATCTTTATGCTCGAGGCTGGTTCCTGGGTCCGAAACTATGCAGACCCGAGTGCAAGCAGACCACCCCCACAATCTTCTACCAGCTGGTCCTGCCTGGGTTTCCGCTCCCCAGGAATATTCTCAGCAGCTTCTCCCTCGCAGGGAATACCTGGGCATCGTGGCCCGGTTGCCGCAAACGTCACGGGCTCGGAGTTGGGCCCAACCTGGAAGCAGGCGTTGAGTTCTGCAAGTAGTCCGGGAGTGAGGCCTTCTGGGTTGCCATGGGAGCGACGTCGCGGCCGCAGTTGCGTGAGGAAAGGAGCATCATGGGAAATGTAGTTTTCAGGAGTCCTTTTCCATCTCACACTCAGCCTCAAGCATTAGGATTGCTTTTAGATCCCAAGTTTATAATCCTTTGTTACCTCTTAGAACGAGGTGATAAGGGGTTCCCAACCCGGAATCTAAAAGCAATTGTTTCTGGGCTGGAGGTGTTCTTTTATTTAAAAAAATTTTTTGCCGTCAGCTATACGCCAGGGGTCTCTGCTCTCTCTCGTCTTTTACTTTTTTCTTCCTAATCGCCATGATTTAGGAATAGAGGGTAACAATCTCTTGAGCTGTTTTCCAGTAATTTACCAGAAGCAAAGAATATCCAGACTTTAAAATTTAAAATAAGGCATGTAATTTTAATATTTTCCAATTTTCCTGATGTTTAGTTGTTTCAAGTTTTATTCAATAACACATTATGTATTTATTAATAAATTAATGAAGCAAATGCATCTCCTACATACTTCATTTACCTTATAAATGTAGATCATTTTGTTTTGGAACTTTGTTATCTCTTTATAGATCTTCAGAAGTGTCCAAATAAATAACAAACATTGAATTATTACTATATGCAAGGCCCTATGCTACACAGAATAAGGAATAAGGAGATAAGTAAGAAAAGATCATTACCCTTAAGAAAGACTTACTCAGCTAATTATAAGCACCTAAGGAAGTGAGTGATCTAATCTATTGTATATAGGTACAAAAATTACATGAGGGCAAGTGACTAAATGCCTGAAGGAGATGGTAAAACATTCATGGCACTGATAGTATTTGGTCTGTGTTGAATGCTGAGTAGACCCAGGCTTTCTAGCCTAACACTCCCTCCCTCCAATCCTCTGCTATTCAGCTTGATATCTGTGGTGTGATGTTCAAGGACGTGGGCTTTGGAGTGAGATGGAACTAGGTTCAAGTCCTGACTCAGCCACGCTGGCTAAGCTGCCACATTGTCACATTGGGTAATTCACTGAATTTCTCTGAGCCTTAGTTTCTGATTCTGTAAAGCAGGAAAGATTGTGAAACTTAAATGAGATAAACATAGGTGAAACATAACACATTATAACTGCTTAATGCTTGTTATTATTGTGTGATAAGCTGCTGGTCAGAAACTTTGAACAAAGAAACACAAGGAACACATTCCTGTAAATTAGGCGGATAGTTGATAAAGGGGTGTTTATTTCAGATAAAGTCATTGGGAACAAAATCCTCCCAACATCTAGGTGTATTTTGGAGACACACAGAACACTAAGATGCACATAGGAAGGGAATTAATGGGAGTAGAGCTCAGCGAAGAAAGGATGATTTTTAAAGGAGGCTTATATATATGTCATTAAATCAGCAGCTATAGCCTGGTACTAAGCCAGCCTATAAGCTCACAAATTGATATGGGACAGATTGTAATGAATTGTAATGATTTGGGTTCATACGTTTGCATGCTAGTTAGGAAGGCCTGTTGATATTGATAGCAATAATGACAGCTAACATTTTTGCCAAGTGATTGCTATGTACTGGGCACAGTACTAGTACTTCAAAAGTACACTTGTTTGAATAACTGGGAGAGGTGTTTGAAGAGGGAGCTTGGTAACAAGGAAGGTGAAGGCGGACCTGGCTGGGCCCTGATCAGCAGAATTGATTCGGGATTGATTCAGTTAATCTGAGCAGGTGAGTTCCCCCTTCTTCCCTTATTCCTCTTCAGGCTTTCATACTTGGGCAAAGAAAGTGACCTTCCTGCGTAGATGAAGATTGTTCTCAAGGTGAGAATGGAAAGAGGAGACAATTTCATGCTGCTTTCTGGATGGAATGAGCAACAGTGCCAAAGGGTAAAGGCGTGGGCAGGGTGTATTTGGGAAACTGAATAGTTTGGGATGGGATCATTTAAAGTGCCTCGTGGAGCTACAGTGGAAGAGCAAACTGGGCAGGTAGATGGGGCTACTGTGAAGGATGCTGTCGTCTAGACTTTACTGTGTTGGTTATGAGAAACCAAATAGGGTTTAAAAATAGGAGTGTGCCACGTTTAGACATGGGTTTCAGTGAGATAATTTTTTGCAGCTGCATGATAATTTTCATGTGAGATAATTTTTTGGCATCTAGAAGACCATGTGGAGCTATTAACAATATCCAGGTAAGTGACAGACAGAGTTTTAAAATATTTTCCCTTGTTTTCAAAGTTATATAAGCTAATTGTAGAAAAAAAAGGTATGCACAGAAAATTAAGAGAATAAAATAAGCATAATCCAGAAGTAATAACTATTAGGTATTTTGGAAACACATTTGATGTGTTTCATTCTAGTCTTTTCTCTTACAAAGTTGAGATTAATCGTAAAGTTAATATCCTGATTTTAACATGTATTTCCCCATTCAAATTTTTAAAATGAATCATAAACATAACTTTGATGGTTGCAGAATATTTCACTATATAGATTTTTCATAATTTATTTAAGCGTTCTCCTTTATTTTGAGACAGAGTTTTGCTCTTGTTGCCCAGGCTGGAGTGCAATGGTGCGATCTTGGCTCACTGCAACCTCCCTCTCCTGGGTTCAAGTGATTCTCCTGCCTCAGCCTCCCGAGTAGCTTGCATTACAGGCATTCTCTAGCACACCCAGCTAATTTTTTTATTTTTAGTAGACATGAGGTTTCTCTATGTTGATCAGGCTGGTCTTGAACTCCTGTTCCTCAGGTGATCCACCTGCCTTGGCCTCCCAAAATGCTGGGATTGCAGGCGTGAGCAACTGAGCCTGGCCCCAGCATTCTCCTAACGTTGAGTATGTTTGGGGTGATTCAGAATAAACACCTAACATGAGCTGGGTTAATCACAGTCCTTCCCTGAAATTTTTCAAACTAGAATTGGGGAAAGCGAGTCACTCTCATTCTAGAGGAAATTAGCATATTTTATGCTAAACGAAGTATTTTGTAGTTATCGAGCACAGAGCAGACACACATCAATATGAAGAGAAAGTCCTGGCACACGTCTCATGGTTCTAGTTGTCCCTAAGGCTTGCCTGTGTCCTCACCTTTCTTATGGATTGGTGGTTCAGCTTGCTCTTTGATTATATGAGATATCGTAATATCCTTGTAATATAATTTCTCATTTTTGTCTAAGCTAGTTCAAGCTGAACTTTGGAATTTACAGCAGAAAGAGTTCTATCTAACACAATTACTAGATAGTAGAGAGTAAGGCCTTGGGAAAAGGGAGAAAAGTTAATGTTTCTTTCTTGAGTGATCGATCAACTGGTGATCCTATTAACTAATTTGGAGGAGCAGAGAGCAGGAGATGCATGTTTAGAGGATGTGGTGAGTTTGAAATATCATCCGGCAGACCGTTGGACCATTTGGGGTCTGCTGGACTTGGCAGTTAGATGGTCAGTGGTAACCTCATGTGAAGGCATTTCGGTAGAATAGTCAGAACATGAAAGCAGTGTTGACAATACCCCATCCCTGGGGGAAACTTAAGCTGTGCATGATCCAAAAGCTAATAACTCTCCACAAGCTTTTCTAAGGTCACACACTTTCTGTAAACTTTCTCTCATAAAAGGCAACTCTTATTGGAGTTTGATAGCATTTTCCAGAAACTCAAGAAGTTAGTAACATTTAAGCCATTTCCTCTGGCATTACACAATATTCAGTTCCAAGGAACTCCTGGGAATTCATTAGAGCCACATAATGAGAGAGGTAACTGGCCTTCTCTTGCCACTGCCACTGCCACTGCTAAAGATGAGTCATTTTATTTTCATAAAACCACAATATAACCTGGCAGCACTTCAGAAAGAGATGCCTTTCCCTTCTTACCCCTACTCTGTTTATTAGAAAATTATGTTGGCTAGTTGGGTGCGGTGGCTCACGCCTGTAATCCCAGCACTTTGGGAGACTGAGGTAGGCAGATTACCTGAGGTTAGGAGTTTGAGACCAGCTAGACCAACACGGTAAAACCCTGTCTCTACTAAAAATACAAAATTTATTTTTTTTGTATTAGGCGCCCTTAATCTCAGCCACTCGGGAGGCTGAGGCAGGAGAATTGCTTCAACCCAGGAGGCAGGGGTTACAGTGAGCTAAGATCGTACCATTGTACTCCAGAAAGCAACAAGAGCAAAACTGTCTCAAAAAAAGAAAAAGAAAATTGTGTTGACAAAGCACAGGAAGGAAGGGTACTTGGTATTCAAGTGCTGTGGTGAACATTTGTGTCCTATTTTGGAGTTATTTGCTAATAGACCCTTCCCTAGTAAAGTTGGTATTCCTTGCCTATCACTGGACTGCAAAATAATATAAAGGATACAATGAAGTTTTTTGGAATGAAGCAAATTATAATCCAGAGTCACTGTGACTATGTGCAATTTAGGTCAAATTAAATCCAACAAATACACAATATAAAGCAAATGCTTAACTCATCTCCTCACCCCAGCTTCTGCCCAGACCGACCAACTCTTCCTTGTAGGACTGATCTTCCCACTTAAATGCTCAATAATTGTCATAAAGATACTGAAAAACAACAAGAACAAAAACTGCCCAAGAAAAGCCTGCATGTTGGTCCCACTGAAGTATAGGTAAATCTTGCTTCAACCTAAATATCTACATGTGGACTTACCTTAATTTGGAGTTTAAAGGAGAAAAAGTTCCTTCTGTTCCAGTTAAATCCCTTTCTTCTTTTAGGGAAAAGAGAATGGGGGCGGGGAAATGTGAGAGGAGCTGTCATTTTTGCATAAATCAGGTGGGTAGCAGGGAAACTACTCTGTCCACTTCTTCCTGCTCCTCACTTCCCTTCCTCAATTTTCAAATTACTGGAGCCTCCTCTCCATAGAAATCAGCCCAGAGCCCATTAGCATTCAGGGAGGCCAAATTCCATGGCAGCTGGTGGGGGGTTAGTGGGTGGGGGAAATATGTTCTTGGCATCCCACCAACACGTAAAGCCTTTTTATAGAGAAATATGATTGTTCACGGTTACTTTTCTTTTTTTTTTTTGGACACAGAGCCTTGCTCTGTCACCTAGGCTAGAGTACAGTGGTGCGATCTCAGCTCACTGCAACCTCCACCTCCCAGGTTCAAGCGTTTCTCCTGCCTCAGCTTCCCAAGTAGCTGGGATCATAGGCGCCCAACACCACAGCTGGCTAATTTTCATATTTTTAGTAGAGACTGGGTTTCCTGCCTCAGCCTATCGAGTAGCTGGGACTACAGGCACGTGCCACCATGCCCAGCGAATTTTTTCTGTTTTTAGTAGATACGGGGTTGTATCATCTTGACCAGGCTGGTCTTGAACTTCTGACCTCATGATCCACCTGCCTTGGCCTCCCAAACTGCTGGGATTACAGGCCGGTGGTTACTTCTTCAGGATTATGCTTCAGGTACAATTATGCGTTAAATGTATTGTTCTAGAACTCAACCATCATGTATTTTTTTTTAATTGGCAGGGAGACATAAGCACATGTATTTCTTTTAATGAAAAAAAATCCAAATAGCAGACCCTTAAACACATTTTTGGAGCAAAAACTCTTTATAAGTTGTGACTAACTTCTCTTGTAAATTGAGAGTTAAATTCATTTCTAAGCTATGATAGTGTTTGATTTTAAGGGCATACACACACACACACAGACACACTCATTTAAACAAATTTTTGGAACACAATCCCTTCAACTCACCTATATGAAATAGGAAATCTTGGGAGAACCAATATTTTTATCTATTTACCTATTTACATATTGTGTGTCAATATGCATGCATATGGATTCAAATTACAATTGGCCAAAATAGCTTTCTTTTATATGGATAAAACAAAGCAACACTGAAGACAAAGCATGAATGCAAGAGAAGGAGGTAATAACTACCATTTTCACTAGTCCTACACCTCAGCTTTGACAATGAAAACATTAGGTATTTCTTGAAGATTATTCAAAAGATAATGCTCAAAATGGGTTTTGTAAATCATTTATTATGATTGAAAGGGAAGAAAATGATAGGAGACAAATATTACAATTAAATGTGTAACATTATTCTCTTGTAACCAATCATAATAACATACTTTGAATTTTTGAATGGCTATATAATTTCCCAGAAAATAAAATTTTCACATCATCAGTTACAGAAAATTGATTTCCTTCCATCAAAATATTTTATCTCTGCTCTATCAAAAATAAATGCCAAGTCTAAGGCACTACAGTTTAAGCTAAGCCTTCACTACCTGTTTAAATGAGATTGTGGGGAGCGGCTTACCAAATGGTGAATAAACTACTGCCTGAGAATAAAGCCCTCACACATAAGTAACAGCTCTGTCAAGCCTCTGGCTCACCAATTAATTATTAGATGGCTCTCTTGGAACTTGGAAACTCTACTGTATCCCAGCCAAAAGGCTTCTGAGAGTCATTCCAAACTGGTTACCAGTTTATTCTCAAAAACAAATTTGCTTCTTCAATAGGCAACTGTGGCTCAAAAGACATACGGGAAATAGTCAATGGAAACCTATTTTGATGGGGTTTAAAAATATTCTTTTTGTCATGATCAGGTAAGTACAATATTACTTGAACAACGTATTTCTTAGCTCTGTTCCTTCTAAGGATGCTAATACAGTATGGAACATTTTTTACAGGCTGAATGTGAGAACAGTACTTTGCCACAGGGAGAAAGCAGCAAAGAAGAAAATACGAAGGCTTTGCCAACAAGGAAATTCAGCAGCTAACATTTTCTCAAATTGGTTAAAAAAATATGACAAAGTGATAAATATATGTCCAAAAAATAAATACAAATATTCTGTACATAAATAAAATTAAGTATCTTCATGATTACCATTACAACTGAACATTTTAGTAATATAATTTTCATGTCTTATCACAGTTTCATTTTTATCATGAATATGAATTACATTGTTGTGACACATACTGGAATGCATTGACCACTTCCATAACCTAATAAAGTAATATATTTAAGTACTCTATCAACTAAAATTTAACCTCCTTTGACAGAAGAATTATTTTCTCTTTTAAAAAATATTTTTGAGGCTGGGCATAGTGGCTCACACCTGTAATCCCAGCACTTTGGGAGGCCAAGGCGGGAGGATCACTTGCACCCAGGAGTTTGAGACCAGCCTGGACAACATAGGGAGACCCTATCTCTACTAAAAATACAAAAATTAGCTGGGCATGGTGGTGCATGCTTGCAATCCCAGCTATTCAGGAGGCTGAAGTGGGACTGCTTGATTCCAGAAGGTTGAGGCTGCAGTGAGCTATCATGGTACCTCTGCACTCCAGCCTGGGCAACATAGTGAGACCCTGCCTCAAATAAATAAAAATAAAATAAAATAAAATATTTTTAGAGCCAGGTGTGGTGGCTCACACTTATAATCCTAGCACTTTGGGAGGCTGAGAGAGGACTGCTTGAGGCCAGGAGTTCACGGCCAACCTGCGCAACATAGCAAGACCCTATCTGTATATACATATATATGTATGTATAAAGACTCTATTTTCAAATTATAATTAGAAGGTAATGTGTGAGGGGCAAAGCTTTAATTACTGTCTTTGTTTTTAAAGATATTAACAAAGCAAGGTCAAGATGACCCAGCATCAAATGCAGTGAAATGTGGACAATATTCTTGTGAACCTGGGAAGTAATGACAGCAAAGGAATGTCAGGAATCGCCATCTTGTTTTAAATTGTACACTCCAGTGATCTGGAAAGGTGACAGGGTATACTCTCTAATACCACACAGGAGGCTCAGGTTACCTAATTCCTGCTTTTGCATATAATGATTCATAGAGCAAGAAGTACTGCACCTGCTCTGAAAATGTACTCCTCATACCACCCTGCAGTTGTTTCTTACGCTGTGTGTTCTACTCCTTTCCAAACACCATATCATTAATTAAAAGCACATTTAGGCCAGGCAAGGTGGCTCACTCATGTAATTCCAGCACTTTAGGAGGCTGAGGCAGGCAGATCACCTGAGCTCATCAGGAGTTCAAACCAGCCTAGCAACATGGTGAAACCCCATCTCTACTAAAAATACAAAAAAATTAGTTGGGTGTGGTAGCATGCACCTATAATTCAAGCTACTCGGGAGGCTGAGGCCGAAGAATCACTTGAACCTGGGAGGCAGAGGTTGCAGTGAGCCGAGATTGTATCACTGCACTCCAGCCTGGACAACAAGAGTGAATCTCCATCTCAAAAAAAAAAAAAAAAAAAAAAAAAAAGCACATTTAATTATAGTACTTACTATTTGGCAGTGAACATTTCCAAATAATCAAATGGTATACCAAATGAGAGTTTGGAATCTCCCTTTCTAAAGACTGCCAGAATATCTTTTAAAAAAAAGGGGAAAAAAGAAAAGAAAAAAGCCACGTTGCACAATATGTCTGATGACAAGGGAGAAGGGAGATGGAAAAAATGATGAATTCTTATTCATTAACTCTATAAGAAAATTAGTGTGTTGGCATTTGTGTTTATGTTTTACTGTTAAATATTTATTTGAATATTTAAAAATCAAATAAAAGAGACTAACCCCCATCATTGTTAAAGTTTGGAATACAGGTGTGTGGCTGCCATGCTGCCAAGTGTAAACAAACTTGCAGGGAGCTGGTGCAGCCACGGCACAGAGGACCAAGAGTGACTGTTCAGACTCCCCAGCTTTCAGAGCAAGGTGGGACCTTTGGTGGGTCTGCTGCTTGACAGAAGAGGCTGGCTTCCCATCATTCTGGCTTGGGGTCTTCGGGTCTGGGCTGAGAGCAGTGCTGGAGCAGAGAGATGGTGAAATGCTGCCTTTTGCTGATGGAAGTTGTTTATGTAACTGGCGATCAAAAGAGTGATTTCAAGAATCTAAAAAGCAGAAAACAGAATTGTTACACTCCTGAGAAGTTCTCATCACTTCCCAGAAGAAAGGAAAGGGTTGGCCACAGGTGATCTCCATTTGCAAGGGCCCAGGCTACCAGAATTCCCTTATCTCTAGATCAAACAATGAAGTGCTTACATGTCCAGTACCATCAAGGCAGCCACACATTTTTTCATCACTTAAACCAGCAGAAAGAGTGAATTTCAAAAACAATCAAATTTAGTGGCAATCTTAGGAAATGTGACAGTAAGTAGTACAACCCTACCAAATTATCATAAAGCCACATGCATGAATATACGAATTGAGAAAGTCAGTGTCATATGAACTCTCTATTTTCACTAAAGACCAAGTTCCCTGATCTGCACTTAATGGTTAGCTGCTTTCACTTTAGTATAGGCTTAATTAAGAAAGACATCTATTTTTTTAAAAAAAACCTTCATATTCTGAAGAAGTAATCTCTTTTATTCAATAACATTAAGACAGTTAAAGTTTTAGGAAAATCACTTTCTCATTCTTTTTACTAAAATTAGAATTACATGTTGGAATATATTCAATTTGTGTATTGCTTTTACTTAGAGATGTTAAAACTACATAGTTCATTAAAAGTCATAAAGGAGCAAGTATGTTTTAATTATAAAACCCCTGTCTTTCCTCTAACAAGTCCATAAAGCAAATAACCCCAACTGAATAAGATAATATGTATAAAGTTGCTGACAGCAATAACTTAATGCCATGACCATTTATTTTGAATCTTCTGTATACCTGGCACCGGGCTAAGCACTCTACAAACTTCCTTCATTTGATTCTTAAGCCAAAAGAAGGAGGGAGTGTGTTACCATATTTTTGGACAAAGAAACCAGGGCTTGGAAAGATGATGTAAGTTGGACCCGTTTGTTTGATTATAAAAAACGTCTGTTTTCCCATCTGGAATGTAGTCTTTGCTGAATAAATGTTTTAGTATGAAAACAACTAGCATTGCTTTTTGGCCTTTTGGCTAAGATCAAGTAAAAACAACTAGCACAAAAAAAGCTGGCAGAAAGGTTTCTACTCACCTTGGGTTTTGCCATGGCAAAAAGTAATTTCTCTGTTGGTTTGTCCTTTGAATGTGTATTGTTAATGACTACCATAAAATCATCCTGATAGCCTCCAAAGGTCATTAGACTCTTGTACACATAGCTGACTATTAACCTCTTCAAAGAGAAGAAAAAGTAAATATGTTATATGCTCTTACTTCCAAAGAGAGATAAAAAATTAATAATACATCTCCATTAAAATGCAGTTATTATGGTATAATACAAAAATTATTTTCTAAAGTAAAATCTTTTATGATCCAAAATAGACAGTAGTGGTACTAATTTTATTTAGGCATCCTCTACCTTTACAATGGTGAGCCTGAAGCAAGCCATTCCAGAAAAATTAGATAATATTAAAAAAATAAAAATAAAAAGCATCTATATTCCAGCATCTAGCGGAAAGCCACTGTTAATAGTTTTTATATGTCCTTTCATATAGCTCATAAATATGATAGGTTACACCACATGAAACTGATACTTTTTATGATCAAATATTAGCAAATCTATATAGTTCACCCTGAAAGATGGATTTCAAAATCTATAAACAGAAACAGTATCATGCATACTGTTTACAATTCTGCTTCTTTTTGAACCTAATGACATATTATGAACATATTTCCATGACACATGTACTTGTATGACATCATTTTAAATGATTTTATAGGAAATCCTTTATTTAATCAACCTGCTATTGCAGAATATTTAAATCACTTTTATTTTTTATTATCTGAAACAATACTCCAGCGAATATTTTTGGATGTATTTCATAACCCACATACCTAATTATTTATTTGGTTATAAAACCAAACAACAGTGGAATTGATAGCTCAGAAAAGACAATTTCTGAGAATTTCCAAACTCTCCTCCAGAAAGTATGTACCTATTGATGGTTCCAGCGCCTCAGTCTTGCTAACATTAAATGTGATCCTTCTTTTAAATCTCTACAAACTGACTGGTGAAATGTGGAATCTCACTGTTTTAAATTGCATTAATTATTAGAGAAATTAACCTTTGAAAATACATTTATTGAACATTTGTATTTCTTCTTTTGTGAATTGCCTTGGCCATTTGTCTATTGGTGTGTTCATAATGTTCTTACTGTTTTATATGACATCTATGTCTTATAATTAAGAATATTAACCTTTGTCACATATGCAGCAAATATTTCTTTTCTAAGGTGTTTCCAAAGCAATATTAAAAATATAACTTCCTCCTGAGGCTTAGGTGGGAGGATCACTTGAGCCCATCTTGGGCAACATAGGGATACCCCGTTTCTATGAAAAAATAAAAAAATATAGCTGGGCATTGTGGTACATGCCTGTGGGAGCTACTTGGGAGGCTGAGGCAGGAGGATTGCTTGAGCCCAGGAGGTCAAGGTTGCAGTGAGTAGTGATCTCACCACTGTACTTTAGTCTGGGTAACAGAAAGAGACCATGCCTCAAAAAAAAAAAAAAAATCAATAAAATGTAACTAGCATACAGCTTAAAACCACTCAGCATAGCTAATGATTAGCTTGCAAGACTGAGCACACCATTCCAGGACTGAAGGCCTCAGAACTGCAACCCACCTGTGTGTGCTTCCTGGCCTGTCTGGCTATCTCCTGGGAGCTAGGGAGCTAGTTTCCTGAACTAAGATAACTCAATACTGGTGTACAGGGTTCTTTTTAAACTTTAAGTCACTGATTTTATAATTCATGTTATCCATTCAAAAACTAAAAGGCACTCAGAAAATATAAGCCCTTAAAAAAAGTGTGTGTGTGTTTGTTTGTTTATTTTTGAGACGGAGTTTTGCTCTTGTTACCCCGGCTGGAGTGGTGCAATGACGCGATCTTGGCTCACCACCACCTCTGCCTCCTGGGTTCAAGCAATTCTCCCGCCTCAGCCTCCTAAGTAGCTGGGATTACAGGCAATTATAAGGGGAAACAGTAACTATAACACTATAATACAAACTATAACACAAAAGAGTAGTTTGGTTTCCAGAAAATGTTCAGAGATCTCTGATTACAGCCACAGGATTAGACCTGCCCAGTGAATTTAGTAATTCCTTCCCACCGGATTAAACAAAAGAGAGAATAAAATTGTATTAAATAGACACATGAAATATGATAAAAATAATGTAAATTTCAGGTAAATAAATGAACATATATAGAAATCATAGTTTAACTTTAAACTATGTGAAAAGTGCTAAGATGCTATATATATGACATTACAGGAAATTATAGAAATTGTTAAAGAAGCCTTAGTGAAACTGAACTTAAACTTTGGTAATTAAAATTCTCACTTTAATGATTTCTTACAGATTTTTATTTTACACAAGAAACAATCTTCTTAACACTTTTTAAAATATAATCATTTCACGAATATAGCCATGATCACAATTTAATCATGGTATCAATACTTTTCTCATACACAATAAACGACCTGTCTTATTTTAAAAGGTTAAATTATAATCATAGCTGTATTTGTAAAATGGCTTTTCATGACATAGTATCAGGAAGAATGTTTTCTGAGTAAGAGAAAAATCAGATTAAGAGATCACTACCTTCTGTTTATGGTACACTGAGCAATGGAAACAGTTGACTCAATGCAAAACTTTAGCTTTTAAACTTACCATGGAATTGTATTCTAAGAGGCTTAAACCATCCTCATGTATAGCCAGCCACATGAAAGTACTTCCAAGTGATGACGGACTTATGGGCTATGAAGAGGTGAAAACATACTAGATTATAAATGCTAAGCAAAATTATGGAAATATTTTTCAGTCTAAATGTCATGTAACATTTGCCATTAAACAACAATAATAACAAAACTTATTAAAAATCTCTCCTGAGAAAGAGGCAGGGTGGTATATTGGAGAGTACAGTGAATTTGACATGAGCAGACTTGGCTTTGAGACCCAAACCTGCCATTTGGTACTGTGTTCGTTTGGACAAGCTATGAATCTCTTTGAGGCTCAATTTCCTCATCTTTAGCATAGGAACAATAATGTTTATATCTTATTTTTCTTCTGCATTACGAGGTTAATAGTCAACAAAGCTTTTAGGGTTTCTATCATGACCAAAATCCTAATGAAGCAAAATGTGCCTGATAAATTGTGTAGTACTTTTACAAGGTAGAGGATCATTATTATAATTGCATACCTTTACTAAAGTTTATTAAATCTGATATTCAATGTGTAATAAAAACAGAATAAAAAGAAAATATGAAGCCGTGTGATCAACAGTAATGAGAAACATGAAAATTTCTACTACATTTTTCATTGTAAAAGCTATGAAATTGGCTGCATGTGGTGGCTCACACCTGTAACCCCAGCACCTTGGGAAGCCAAGGTGGGTGGATCATTTGAGGCCAGGAGTTTGAGACCAGCCTGGCCAACATGGTGAAACCCCCTCTCTACTGAATATACAAACATGAGCTCCGTCTGTTGGCACACACTTGTAATCCAAGCTACTTGGAAGACTGAGGCAGGAGAACAGACTGAATCCAGGAGGCACAGGTTGCAGTGAGCTGAGATAGCACCACGGCACTTCAGCCTGGGTAACAGAGTGAGACTCCATTTCAAAAAAAAAAGAAAAAAGAAAAATATAAAGAAAAAATGCTAAAAGCTGCTCCTGGTTCTCACAGAAAAAAAAGCTATAAAATTATATTAATAAAAAGAATCTCCTACCAGTAGAACCCAACTGAAACCCATGAATGTTTCTGAGTAATTAATGATGCTTGTTTTGTTCCATTAACAAATGAAATCCTAAAAAAAGTTAACTATTTCTCTTAAATTTTATAAAATAATGTCAGGACTGCAGATATAAAACTGGGATGAATGTTGTGTTATTTTATATAATAAAATTTGTTAGCATCTCATATATAAAAAACCCTGAGTTAGAAATTGTCTACTAAGGGTTGATTTGCAAAGGATAGGGAGAATTCAATTCAAAAGGATGCCCTTCAACTCTAGTGTCCACTGACAGATGAAAGGATAAACAAAATGCGGTATATATATACATATAGTGGAATGTTATTCTGCCTCGAAAGGGAAGGACATTTTTGTTTTTGAGACGAAGTCTCGCTGGGTCACCCAGGCTGTAGTGCAGTGACCCGATCTTCGCTCACTGCAACCTCCACCTCCTGGGTTCAGGTGATTCTTCTGCCTCAGCCTCCTGAGTATCTGGGACTACAGATGTGTACCACCATGACTGGCTAATTTTTGTTTGTTTGTTTTTAGTAGAGATGGGGTTTCACCATCTTGGCTAGGCTGGTCTCGAACTCCTGACCTCGTGATCCACCCGCCTCGGCCTCCCAAAGTGCTAGGATTACAGGCATGAGCCACAGTGCCTGGCCAAAAGGGAGGAAAATTTTGACACATGCTATGACATGAATGAACCTTGAAGACATTATACTAAGTGAAATAAGCCAGTAAAACACAAATATTACAGGATTTCTCTTACATGAAATTCCTAAAGTAGTCAAATGCAGAGACAGAAAGTAGAGTGGTGGTTGCCAGCGGCTGGGAGAAGGGAGGACTGTGGAGTTAGCATTTATGGGTACAATTTCAGTTTGGGAAAATAAAAAAGTTCTGAGATAAGTAGTGGTGACAGTAACACAACAATGAGAATGTACTTAATGCCACAGAGCTATACACTTAAAAATGGTTACAGGAAGGGCATGGTGGTTCACGCCTGTAATCCCAGCACTTTGGGAGGCCAAGGTGGGTGGATCGCCTGAGGTCAGGAGTTCAAGACCCACCTGACCAACATGGAGAAACTCCATCTTTACTAAAACAAAATTAGCTAGGCGTGGTGGTACATGCCTGTAATCCCAGCTACTTGGAAGGCTGAGGCAGGAGAATCGCTTGAACCCGGGAGGTAGAGGTTGTGGTGAGCCGAGATTGTGCCATTGCACTCCAGCCTAGGCAACAAGAGTGAAACTCTCCATCTTGAAAAAAAAATGGTTACAATGGGCTGGGCTGGGTGTGGTGGCTTACGCCTGTAATCCCAGCACTTTGGGAGGCTGAGATAGGTGGATCACCTGAGATCAGGAGTTCGAGACTAGCCTGGCCAACATGGCGAAACCCTGTCTCTACAAAAAAATATAACAACTAGCTGGGCATGGTGGTGCATGCCTGTAATCCCAGCTACTTGGGAGGCTGAGGCATGAGAATCTCTTGAACCTTAGAAGCAGAGGTTGCAGTGAGCTGAGATTGCACCATTGCACTCCAGTCTGGGTGACAGAGTGGGACTCTGTCTCAGAAAAAAAAAAAAAAAGCTTAAAATGGTCAATTTCATTATATGTATTTTACCACACACACAGAAAACAGGATCCCATGAAGCAACAAAGGAGGTGTTGCTTATTATAAGAAAAAGTGAGCAAAAAGGATGCCTGTCATGTAATTTAAAAAGCAATATTATTATTAAATATTTTGTGCCAGCAAGCACACATTATCAGAGCAGGAAAGGGTATTTACTATTCTTTCCAGTGCTGAAGTTAGAATTAAATCCATGCTGATCTATAGTTCAAATCTATTTCTTGTAACTTAAAAATATATATGTTCAACTCCCTGCAGGTATATTAACTTTACAGATGTTTAAGAATACTAACTTTATCATCTTTTTCTTAACTTACTTAATATACAGCTTTCATTTCCACTAGAAAAAAATAAATTCTCACCTATCAATAATATAGTCACTCATAGAATCAGAGTTAGAAGATAACTTAGATTTTACTTTTCTAGTCTAAGTATTTCATTAACAGAGGAGGAAAACTGAGGTCCAGAGAGGTAAACTGACTTGCTCAAAGTTGCAGAGCTATTCAGCAAGTATTTGTTAAATGATAATTATGTGCAAAGCACTATGATTGGCACCAGAGGAAGATTTTAGGATCAGTGAGTTTATCCTTTCAAGGAGCATGCAATTTAATAGAAAAAAACAAACACACAGAAAAATATAACACAAGACAGGATGTATCCTGAGAGCCTGAGAGAGTACAGAGACATGGTTCAACAGATAGAAAAGGAATCAAAAGGCACAATTTTTCCCTTGGGGAAAGGGCTGGCTGTCCCCGGGCAGGGCGAGTCTCCTTCCCCAGAGTTCCTGCAGCAGTGTGTTCATGTCGCTCATAGTGATATTGGCCACACAGTGGTTCGTTTACAGGCCTGTTGCACTCCCGACTACACAAAGTGAAATAGTCCTGGAAGTTCATGTACAATCCATCTACCACAGGTTATGTATCCCTAGAGCTTAGCTCAGTGTTTAGCAAACAGCACTTAATAAACATTAAATAGCAAATGAGTGACAGAGTAAACGTCATGGATGAACGAATGAAGAGAAGAATGCAGAGTTCAGCTGTGGTTTAGAACTCATGATTAACTTAATGAGTCCAAGAAATGATTTAGGGTGGGGAAAAGCTGGGCAGAGAGGAAAAGATGGAGAAGCTTTTCTGTGCCCTTTCCCTAGTGTCTCTTCATTGTTTTCTTTACATTGTTGGATATTTCTTCATTTTTTACACAAATACACTAAGTCTGGGGTAAATCTGGTCAGCTATGTACACAAAGGTTTTCATTATGCATCTCTCTCCCATTATTTCTTACTTTTGCAGGAAACAACTTGGCACCAAAGAACGGCCATTTCCTGGCTACTGTCAAATAAATGCGTACACAGTCTGCAACACTGTGTCCCCGAAGGGCCATCCATCTGGTTGACAGTCGCTGGCAAAGCTGCCTAAAAAAAAAATATAAGAACAAAAACAAAAACACAAAAGCAAAAACAAAAACAGTGTGTCATAGTCTTAAGATAAAACTCTCCTTGAGCCAATCCTAAGCATAACTGTGACCCTAGGCATAACCCAGGTAAAGATTTTGTGACTCATCACACCACTATCCACCACTTGTCCTTTCTGGAATATTCCTTTCACCAAATTCTCATACTATTTGTGTTTTCAGCATGAACTAAGTGCCCTCAGTGGGTCCATTTTTAAAATCTGAATATCTACCATTGAAACTTAGCATAAATTAGTTTAAAAGCTAATTTCTCATGGGAATATTTTCATTTTTTAAAGAAAAGTACCAGCTGGATGGGGTGTGTCACGCCTGTAATTTCAGCACTTTGGGAGGCCAAGGTGGGCGGATCACCTTAGGTCAGCAGTTCAAGACAAGCCTGGCCAACATGGTGAAACCCCGTCTCTACTAAAAATACAAAAATAAGCCAGTCATGATGGTGGGTGCCTGTAGTCCCAGCTACTTGGGAGGCTGAGATGGGAGAATAGCTTGAACCAGGAGGTGGAGGTTGCAGTGAGCCTGAGATCACCTCATTGCACTCCAGGCTGGGCAACAGAGCGAAACACCATCTTAAAAAAAAATAAATAAATAAATCTATGTAGACAAAAGACTGATCTCAAATTTTCCAATTTGGAAACACTCATGATAAACTGGATTTGCCTCTGTTTTTAAATCTAATCAGCTTCTCAAACTCCAAATTAGTTGAGGTAAATTAGAAACTTTTATATTAAAAAGTCTTATGTAAGAATACAGTTTATTTTTATTTCAATTTATTCATAATGGAATATATAAAATATATTTTTTTGGCATGTACTTCATAAAATTAAACATATTCTTGGCCATTTTTTTCTCTTATTTATTATCAGGGTTGATCTGGACAAGAATGAAAAAGATCAATTGAAAAGTAGATCTAAAGGCAATTTTATTTCAATTAAAGAATAAAATAAAGTTAAAGAAAGTTTAAATATAGATTCTAAAGCTTCTGGGCTTATCTTAAATAAAAATATCTATAATCTTCTGTGGCTCAATAGTATTAAAAAATCTTGAGAAAGCTGTCAAAATGTTTTTCACCTCTGAAATCTGAACAGAAAAATATTACCAAAAAATTAGTGTGACCCTACCCTCTAAAGAGTTACAAAGATTTCCTTACCTTAACTGCTCTTCAGAACAGCCATCTCTATATCTTTTAGGATAAAATTTCTCTAAGACTTGTTTTAGAGTTTGATTTGCTTTGCACTGATTGGTAACACGCCCTGCTGGAGTTGAGAAAGGTCTTTCAAAATCTCCAATCTCCACCTAATTGGAAATCCAAAAAAGTGAAAATGTAAGATATTGAAAAGAGTTTTAAGAAATCTTTTTTAAGATTTCAGAAAATCAGTTTTATTTTTTCTAAACATTCTTTTTTAACACATAATACATAAATTTGTCATGCTTATCTGTTATGAAATTTATAATCATATATGGGAGTTGTTATAAATTACACTTTAATTTTAATTTTTTTTGAGACAGATTCTCTATCTGTCACCCAGGCTCACTGCAACCTCTGCCTTCCAGGTTTAAGTGATTCTCCTGCTTCAGCCTCCCAAATAGCTGGGACTACAGGTGTGCACCACCATGCCTGGTTATTTTTTTTTTTTTTTAGAGATGGGGTTTCACTAAGTTGGTCGGGCTGATCTCGAACTCCTGACCTCAAGTGATCTGCCTGCCTTGGCCTACCAAGGTGTTGGGATTACAGGAATAAGCCACTGCCTGGCCTGAATTCTAATTTTGAAAAAATCTGTAATTTAAAGATTTGAGTTCCATTTCCACATTGACCTTCCTAGTTTACTATCACCATCCAGTAGTACTTGCTAAAGGCCACTACTTTGTATTTTCTGTAATGCAAGGACAATTTTTCATTTCTAAGGCACTATTTTAATTACTGATAATAAGGTGAAATAGATGTTAAAAATAAAAGGCAATAGCCGGGCGTGGTAGTGGGGCACCTGTAATCCCAGCTACTTGGGAAGCTTAGGCGGAAGAATCACTTGGACCCTGTAGGCGGAGGTTGCAGTGAGTTGAGATCACACCACTGCACTCCAGCCTGGACGACAAAGCGAGACTCCATCTCAAAAAAATAAAGTTATAAGAAATTTCAAAAAACTATTAGTTGGACTTTTTGAGGGTCTCTCCTGAATGTAATGGGAGCAAGAACCATATTCTCATTACTTTGTTCCCAGATTTTCTCCATAAATGTTATGTGTTCATCCCCTCATTCTCTAGTATTAATCCTGGGAATACAGTCCTTCATTCCCCTTTCTCCCTTAATGAAAGAATGTTTAGCTTTCATCTCCATTAATGGGCTGTAGAGATGCCATCTTCAATCCACCCATCTAACTATCCATCCACCCATCTCTCCATGAACTCACTTATTCATCCCTTCATCCAAACCTATACTGAGTCCCCACTATAAGTCAGGCACTGTGCTAAGTTATGTGAGAAAGGAAAATGCTGAGCATAGTCCCTACCCTCAAAGACTTTATTATCTAGTAGAGAAGACGGAGACATAAATTCTTGTGATAAACTGTGTTAGGTGGCTTGTATAGGATATCAAAGAGGGTTCAGGGAGGAAGACAGGATAGGGGACATTCAGGTGAATGTCCTACTGATCATTAACATCATAATCTATAGCATTCACCAACAAATGGATCAAGGGTTCCATCAAAACTAGAATGGTCTCATAGAAAGCACCAGGTCTGCATCTCAAAAGGGCCCTATTCCTTAGTTAAGCTGTCAGCAGTACCAGCTTCTGAGAACTCCCACCCTGGGGCTCCTCTTTTCCAGTTCTTAATTTGATCAGTTACTGTCTAAAGTCCTCAGCTAAGCTTTGCCCTTACAGCCTATTCTTATAACTTCCTAGGTTCTTTGACCTAGGTTCTTTCTCGCTGGTTACTTGGGTTGATTTTGCTGTTCAGCTCCCATTCTTCATTTTTCCTTGTTTCTATCAATCTTCATCATTTCCTACCTAGTCAAGTATCCTTGCAAATTTCTTCATCCCAAATAAAAGTTGTCCACCAGCTCTTTGATCATACTGAAATCCCTCCTCCAGAGCAAGCTATGCACTGTCCCCACCTCACCAGGTAGCATTCACCACAGCTACCTGTGAAACCTGACACTGGATTCAATCTCCAAGGATACGACAGTCCAACAAACAAACAATAGTTTAAAAAAAATAGGAAGCTGGGCACAGTGGCTCATGCCTGTAATCTCAACACTTTGGGAGGCTGAGGTGGGCAGAGCACTTGAGTTCAGCAGTTCGAGACCAGCCTGGCCAACATGGTGAAACTCCGTCTTTACTAAATATACACAAACAAATATATATATTCGTTTAAAAATATTTAGTATATTTTTTATATTTAGTATTAATTATACTATAAAAATATATTATAGTAAATATTTTTTTAAAAATAGCTGGGCCTGGTAGCAGGCACCTGTAATCCCAGCTACTCAGGAGACCGAGGCAAGAGAATCATTTGAAACCAGGAGGCAGAGATTGCAGTGAGCTGAGATCGCGTCATTGCACTCCAATAGGAGACCAATCAAGGCAACCTTGCCTCTTAGGGCAGCCTTTAGTGGCATGTCCAAGCTCCCTGGAACCTGACATATTATGTGGCATAGAATAAATACAATAAATGGAGAATAACAGAAAATCAACTTACATAATCCTTAACATGCCCTACATGAACACCATGCCTTCCTAGACACTATGTACACTAATTAAGAATCAGCTGCAAGAATTTCATAATAAAGACAGAGAATATCAACAAGAGCCTACATATATTTGAATCTACAACAGAAATAATTCTTCTGCAGAGCTCTGATCTATTTAGTATATTTCATTTATCTTCACTAAACTACTCTGAGGAAGAGACATCAGAGGCATATATTTTCTTTTCACAGATAAGGAGATTCTACTTTCTAAGTTAGTAATATGCTCAGAATTTTCTTGGCTTGTGGTCTTATCTTTTTACCCCTTCCTCAAACTCATCTAAAAATCTTAGAAGTACCTATCTCTAAAGTATATTATAATTTTTCTTGTAAAACCTGTCTTACAAAATTAAAAGTTAAAGTAAAAAGACTAAGTTAAATTTTAGTAAAAATAAGAGTGATTTTAACAGAGAATCTGTGCCTTTAGAAAGGCTAAGCCCTGGAATGGAAGGTGATAGTAAATCATTCCCAATCCTAACACGAAGAAAAATGTGCCCTATTTCTCCTTTCCTCAGGTTTTTATCACTTGTAGAAGAACACTTAGTGTTGCGCTAATGCATTAAAGTCCAGATGATCATAACATTATTTTAAAAGTTGTCCAGGTGTGATGGCTCATGCCTGTAATCCCAGCACTTTGGGAGGCCAAGGTGGGAGGATCACTTAAGCCCAGGAGGTCAAGACAAGCCTGGGTAACATACATAACAAGACCCCATCTCACAAAAAAAATTTTTTTAATATAAGCTAAATTATCAACTATTTATTCCTCTAAGAACAGCTATGGAGAAAGGACTGTGTGTAAAGCTGTGCTAGAGACAAAGATGAACATGAACAGCCCTGGGCCTCAGGGCGGCTGTGGTCAGTGGTACAAAGCAGAAACATAAATCAATGATTATAAACCACTGAGGTCAGGATAGCAATCGAACATTACAGAAACCCCAAGAGGGACATTTAACCCACCCAGATGGGATTCAGGAAGGTTCCCTGGAATAAATGATACCTATGATGTAAAGGAAAGGATAAGATGAGGTTAACGGGTAAAGGGATGGGGTAGAGATGATCCAGGCAAAGGACACAAACTAATCAATCATAAGAGGTAAAAAAAAAAAAAAGCGAACCATACACTAGGCAGAGAGTTGTGCATAGAACCACAGTTCACACTTTATTGGAGCATGAAGTTCAAGGCAGGGAGTATTAAGGGAAAGTTGAGGCTGGAGAGGCAGGCAGAATTCAGCTCATGAGAGTCCTTGCATGTAAAAAAGGAATGACAGAGCTAGATTCACATTTTTGCTGTATCTCTATCCCAGTTTCTAGTGCTGCCTAATAAAGCTCCATGCACAGGTGACAATGTGCCAATTTCCAGGCTCAGCCCTTAAGAAAACAGCAACTTCCACTTCTTGTCTCTCTTCTGGGACATTGCTCCTGTCACCCATTCACCATTCTTGGAGGAAGCACAAGCAGTCATATACATGAAGGGACCATGTAAGAAGGGGCTGCAGCTGACAGTCCCAGCAGAAGCCCCCACAAACAGCCAGCATCAATCAGTCAATAGACATGAGTGAACGAGCCTTCAAATGATTCCAGCCCTCAGCTGTAAAGTGACAACTGGGTTGCAAGCTATGTCAGCTGATACCACCTGAAGCAGAGACACACACTGTCCCTTCACATCTCTGCCTAAATTGCTGTCTTAACTAGCTGAGTTTTGGAGTCATTTGTTATGTAGCAATAGATAAGTGGAAAACATCCCTCTAGCATTTGTGTAAAGGATAAATTTGTGAGGGACCAGACCAGAGAAAGGCACCCTACTTAGGAGCCTGCTGCAGGACAGCAGGCAGCAGGAGACAATGATCTGAACCTTAGCAACAGGAGTCAGCATCCAGAGGAGAGAATAGAGTAAAACATCCCTAAGAGTTCACATTCACAGGATGTGGTGACTGGTGGGAAAGGGCCAAAGCCAGAGAAGAATCATGAGGATTCCCGGGTTTGAAGTTTGCTTGAGGGACTGGGTGGAGACACTATCATAAAAAGGAAACAGAATGTGAAGACAGAGAAGGGATGATGGTTAGTCCAGTTTTCAATATATTGATTTTGGCTGGCTGCAGTGGCTCTCATCCATAATCCTAGCACTTTGGGAGGCCGAGGCAGGTGGATTGCTTGAGGTCAGGAGTTTAAGACTAGCCTGGCCAAAATGACGAAAACTTGTCTCTACTAAAATACAAAAATTAGGTGAGTGTGGTGGTGGGTTCCTATAATCCCAGCTACTTGGAAGGCTGAGGCAGGAGAACTGCTTGAACCCGGTAGGCATAGGTCGCAGTGAGCCGAGATTGTGCCACTTCACCCCAGCCTGGGCAAAAGAGGGAAACTCTGTCTCAGACAAAAAAAAAAAAAAAAAAAAATTTTAAGGAGCCCATAAAAGAGCTATGAACTGAAAAGAAAAGATCTGGAACTCATTGGCATAGGTGGTGCATAAAATAAGAAGAACGATTGGGATGTCCTGGGACAGAGTGTAGCATGAGGAGCCATAGACCCAAGACACTGGGGAATCTAAGCCTTGGTCCAGATGCCATATCACAGAGTTGCTTTAACATTTTTCCTTAATTAACCTAGGCAAAGACTCAGGTGTGGTTGAGACTATGAATTGCGTCTTTTGACCATTCTCTCCTTCTTCTTGAGTAAGAAAAACCTTAAATTTAGCTTGGCACACTGCCACCCCACTGAGATAACATTTCCCAGATTCCCTTGTAGGTAGTAGGCAAGGCCATGTGACTAAATTCTGACTGGAGAGACATGAATGGAAGTGTTCTATGTAGCTGCTGAGAAGTTTTCTCAAATGAGGGAGGGCATATGCCCTTTTCAGCCCTTCCCTCATCCTGAGGTCTGGAACATTGATGTTAGCTGGAGCTCTCAGACTCCCAGGACCATGATGATGATACCCTGGGGACAGCAGAAGGGAGAAGAAGATAAAGCCCATGCCCCTAATGCTTTACAGAGGTGCCAGGATTCCTCTCTCTCTATGTGAGAGCTAAATATACCTCTATTCTGATTAAGTCAGTATTAATTTGTGTGTATTTGTGTGTGTGTGTGTGTGTGTGTGTGTGTGTGTAGAAGGCTGAACTTAATCCTAACTGATATAACAGGTAAAAGAGAAAGTGCTCTAGCCTTTTCAAGGACTTATTCCTATTAGACTAGCAAGTGATTTCAGCATGATATCTTCAACCCCACAGCTCTACACTCCAATTCCTTTATTAAATGCAAAGCCTAGAGGTATATTTTCAAGGTCATTAAGAAACTGGGTTCTCTTTATGGAATACTGTCTCATTCTACATCATTGCAATTGTCAGGAGTTTAGAGGCAAACTGTAATTACAGTGTCTGTAATTTTTAAGGTGCTAATCATAGCAAACGGAATTTACAGAATTACTGAAGGTATACTGTTTTATGTTTAATTCAGTGTAGCAATTAGCATCTTATCATTTCAATATATTAATCTATATAACATGGAAGTTACCTGAGCTAAAAGAGCTGCCATTTCTAATGCCAGATCCTTGTTCAGAGGAAAAAGTCCATTTATTATTTGATCATTTGTCTGATACATTAACAGCAACTTTTCTCTATCAGTCTCTTCACGAGCTTGTATTGAGAAATATAGTCTGAAAAAAAAGAGTAAATTTCTCATTAAATTATATTCTTACAAAGGAATAAAGATAAATCCAGAGGACTGAGATGGGTTGTTTTAACATAGTACTCTAAGTGGTATGAGCTTACACCATTACTGTCAGTGACTTCTGTTTCTGTTCTATTTAGTACTTTCAGCAAAATAAGAAAATTGCTTTGAGGTTGGGGCTGAGAAACAGCTAGAGGTGAGGTTGAATCACATTAAATGTCAATTGTCTAAATACACCAATGAAAAGACAGATTGTTGGCATGTATAAAATATAAAACGTAACTATATGGTGCTTTTAAGAAATCCACTTTAAATATAAATAAAACCATATAAGATAGAAGTAAAGGGATGAAGCATTTTTTATGCCCTGAAATACCAAATCCTTAAATGTTACTGTGGAAGGACCCAAGACATCAAGGAAAATTAAATATGCCCTCTCTTGCAAGGAATGTATGATATAAGGCCTTTATTTCAATGGGCTGTGTAAACCCAGCCTTCAAAACCCTCATGATCCTTCCTGAATACCTTGGACACATCAGGGAAAAGAAAATGAAGGTTTCAACTCAAAATCACCCCCCAAATCAACATCAAATAAGTGTGATGAGAGGGTGAGTTTTCTCTGGGAATCTAAAAGATAATATTGATATACTTAAGTGTGTTTTGACTTTTTGGCCACAATCTGATAAGCAGCTTTAGGGGCTCAAAAATAGTTTACATGTTATCACTATTACTCACTGAAACACAACATAGCTTTTTTCTGCCTAGGGGGGTCTTCATCAAATCAGTGATTCTCTTTATTTATTCACTGTGTCATTTATTCATATGTGAGATTTATGGGGCTCTAACTTCAGGCTGCAGATCAGGCACAGGTGTTGTAACTGCTCTAAATGTGTCACAGTGGGGTGGGTTAGCAACATCTTGACCCACCTAAACACTGCCATGACATCACAGTGGCTGGAAAAGAGAGATTTAGATACAGTAGCTGTTACATGTGTGCTTGATTGCATTTTCAGCTTCCCCCCCACAAACTTGAGGGAGAGGATACACCCCTATCATTTACAGTATCTCTCCCAGGAATTATGTCAAATAGTAGGGAAGGAGAGGGCAGCAGGTCTGAATCTCTGGGCAAGCATGGATGGGGGGTGCTTTGAAAAGTTCCTCCTATCCCATGATTTTAATCATTCTTTCCTCTCTACCTAGTTTACAAATCAGAAAAATCCTCAGCTCCATTTTAATCTATGATGACTATATGATGAGAAATAATGCAGGATTCTTAAACTGGTAGTCGAATATAGCTGGGCAATAGAAACAGATGCCAAATCCAAAATGTTGTCAGCAAGGGCATATAAAACAAAGAGCAGAAAGTTTAAGATGAAAGCCTTCCCTTTTGGCATGCTTACATTTGTATACATAGCTTATTTTCCCTACTTGAAGTCAGGAAGTATAGCATACTCATCACTGTAATCCACTAGAGTTTAGCTAAGTGTTACCACTGGAAGATTTGGTAATATGGATAGGGGGAGAAAAAAAAACAAATGGCTACAGGCAAGAAAAGCATAAGTGCCTTTTCTGTCATTCCCAGCATGCAACACGATTGAACCTGAGAGCGGAAAAGGAAGCATCATTAGTTTAAAAAAAAAAAAAAACAGAGAGAGAGAAACAATACTGGACATGAACCATTGGCTCAAATCCCTAATAAAACAGTTTGGGCTCCAACAGCTATCCAGGGATTTGGAAACAATTTGAAGAGGAACAAAAATGACCCAAGAAGTCATAAAAGTCAAATCCATGGAGCCTGAATAGGAAAGGCACTAGAGGAATGGGATCTAAGCCTCACAGCATGGTTAGCTTTCAGCTGTTTCCAAATCCTAAAACAGCCTGGAGCAGACAGAATGGGCTTCTATGACAGCAGGCAAGTGTTGCATTAGATCACAGAGGTATTCCCAAATCTCTACCTCCTCACTGGACATCCAGAAAGTTGAATACTGTGGGATGGAAATCACATCACTGTGGACCAGTACTGCTACACAAATACACTGCTTCCAAATTCAGCAAGGCTCTCAGCACTGCTGGGTAATCCTTTTGCTTGCCCTCAACTGGCTCCAGATTCATTCTTCAGAGCATTTATGGGAAGCACTATTGTCCTTTGCATCCTTTTGTAAACTTACTGGGGGGGCAGGCTGCAATTTCTCTCCATTTACCCTTCCTTTACTCCTCAGCCCACCATGGTCTACTGATTATACTCTACTAAAACTGCCATTGTTCTCTTCCTGCCTCAGTGGCATCCAACCTCCAGTCATCTGCTCAGAAGACACCACTCTGCAAAGTCTTCCTCTATGTCCCTACAACCTCTTGTACATACACATCATATTCATGGTAATGGCAAATACCTATGAAGCATTTACTGTGTGGCAGGCTCTGAACCAAGTGCTTAACAATTGCCAACATTTAATCCTTCAGACAACCCTAGAGGTGGGAATCATTTTGACCTCCATTTCACTTAGGACACCTGAGGAACAGAGATGTTAAGTGACTTGCTCAGGGCCACATGGCAAGTGGTAGAGCCAGGATTCTAACCCAGGCAGTCTGTCTCCAGAGCCCATGTTCTTCCCTCCTGTGCTACATTCTTCCTGTAACAGCACTGATTGCACTGCTAAGACTTCATGTCTGCCTCTCCCTATAAACTGTAAGATTCTGAAGGGTAAGGAAGTTCTATTCACCCTAGAATTCCCAAGGCTTCAAACAAGGGTTGGCACTGGTAGACTGCATGAATGGACAAATAAATGGTATGTGAGAATTGCTAAGTACAGGAATTATTTGCCAAAGAAGCCTGAAGAATTCCCTTTCCATAGTCTTAGGCAAGTGACTTAACTCTCTGAAGCTTCAGTTACCTCATCTGTGAGATGGACATAATAACAGTACCTCGGCCGGGCGCAGTGGCTCAAGCCTGTAATCCCAGCACTTTGGGAGGCTGAGGCAGGTGGATTACGAGGTCAAGAGATTGAGACCGTCCTGGTCAACAAGGTGAAACCCCGTCTCTACTAAAAATACAAAAAATTAGCTGGGCACGGTGGTGTGTGCCGGTAATCCCAGCTACTCAGGAGGCTGAGGTAGGAGAATTGCCTGAACCCAGGAGGCGGAGGTTGCGGTGAGCCGAGATTGCGCCATTGCACTCCAGCCTGGGTAACAAGAGCGAAACTCCGTCTCAAAAAAATAAATAAATAAATAAATAACAGTACCTCATAGGGTTGTAAGGATTATATAAAAATGTACACAAAGAGTTCAGAATAGGGCCTGATATTAGGTAAATGTTCAACAAATGGGGTTTAGCAGTACTAATAATAGTATTCTACAGAGGTTGTTAGAATCATATGTCTTTTTTTTTTTTTTGAAATGGGGGTCTCCCTCTGCCACCTAGACTGAAGTGCAGTGGCACAATCTTGGCTCACTTGCCTGCTGGGTTCAAGCGATTCTCCTGCCTCAGCCTCCTATGTAACTGGGACTACAGGATGTGCTACCACACCTGGCTAATTTTTGTATTTCTAGTCGAGACAGGGTTTCACCATGTTGGCCAGGTTGGTCTTGAACTCCTGACCTCAGGTGATCTGTCTGCCTCAGATCCCAAAGTGCTAGGATTACAGGCATGAGCCACTGTACCTGGCCTACATGAGAGTCTCTTGATCCTGGAATTTTTTTTTTAGTGTGAACATAGCTAGGAGAAATGGGATAAACTCCATTTCTTGGCTTACACTTCTTGGCTGTGGCCAATTTTGTTTTGTTAAAAAAATGCCTTGACTCTTACAACTTCAAAGACACAGTAAGAAATAAAATTAAATAAGAACTTTAACTATGAATAGAATTTAAATGTTAGTTGCCAATGTTTGTCTATAAGAACAAGTTCAAAACCTATTAATTAGATCTTTCATACCTGAATCAAAATGATTAAAATTCCATCACTTGCCAAGTATCAATTTAAAATTCCATGATCAAGAGAACTGATATTTTAGCTTTGTTTATTACCGTGCTGCATGGCAGATGAAGAATCAAGTGCTTGGCTGTGTGACAGGTCACAGCAAGGTCCCCTCCTAACTGTATCACTAGAAATTAGGGCTCATTGTCTAAGCTATTTATAAATACATGTAAAGCATGGCCATGTTCAGAAACATAGTACTTTCTCACAGCTGTGGCTATCCAGCCATTTCAGAGTTCTGTTAAAAATTAAACCTTTCAGTCGAGTTACTTTTTCTCCTGATGTCAAAGACATTATCATGGGGTTTTATTTTTAAACAAGGTAATGATCTTTATTCACAACTCTCTTTTTTAAAAAAATATTTGAAGAGATTTATTTTGAGCCAAATATGAGTGACCATGGCTTGTGACACAGATCTCAGGGGGTCCTGAGAAAATGTGCCCAAGCTGGTCAGGGTGCCGCTGGATGTTATACATTTTAGGGAGTCATGAGACTTAAGAAATACATTGGTTTGGTCTAGAAAGGCAGAACAACTTGAAGCGAGGCTCCACAACCGCAGACATTCCTTTCTACTGATTCCAGGTCTTTGGAAAAACTCAACCAATTGTCAACCAAAAAATTTTTATCCACAACTCTCTTTGTCCTTCCTTGCGGTGTTTTTAAACTTGAAGCAGTATTGTATCCATCTTTCATATCATCTTTCTCCATTTACCCAAATTTCACTTCAGTTCCAATCATAGCCATCACAATCAGAGTTGGTATGTATTAAGCATTCATAAGGTTTGGATGATTAGGAATAGTCCTGGACACAAAGGTCGCTCCGCTTGGTTCCAACAAAACCAAGTGAGAATGCCCGAACCTCTTCTGCATAATGGTCTCTGGCAGGCCAGGTCCAGGAGCTGGCTCCTTCTATAAAGGCTAAGGCCAAGAGGCAGGAGCAGTGATGAGAACCTTTAGGTCAATGCTTCTCAAAGCCCAGCATGTGTAAGAATTATCTGGAGAGCTGTCAAAACAGACTCCTGGGTTTTACCCCCAGAAATTCTGACTCAGTGGGTCTGAAGTGGGGCCTCATGATTTGCATTTCTAACACTTTCCATGTGGTCCTGAGGCTGCTCACGTGGCGCCCATGCTGGGAACTACTGTTCCACATTAAACAGAACTACAATAATCATCTAGAAGGGCCAAGTCTTCTAGCCTGCTACACTTGCCAGTCACCAAAGGGCCACTGATACATTGATAAAGGTTGCCCTCAAGGGAAACAGATCCCTCCAGGGGTGAAGCCTATTAGAATTCCAATATTTATGCAATATTGCTTATCTCTAGGAATGTATGATTTTAAAATTTCAGATACTAAAGCTTAATAGTCACCTTCTTGTTACTTGAACCGCTAGCAAATCATCACAGCTCATGAGCCCCTGAATAAAGAAGCTCCAGTGTTCACAACCACCATTTATTCAGATCAGTGGAGTCTGTTCAAATACTGGGTGGCTCTTTAAGAGGCCAAATGTAAGAGAGAAGAGTCCAAACTATGAATGTGCCATACTTATTTAACTGTTCTCCCTATTAATAAACATGTAAGTTTCAGTCCCAAATTTTTCACACAAAAAATGACAAAGAATATGATAAAAATGTGACAAGGAAGATACTGAGACATATTGGAGTACTCTACCCACTTATCTGGGTATTTCTGTGGTATAGACTATTAGAAAAAGAAATTTCAAAGTGGATCAAAGGCAATTAAATTCTTTATGTGATATAGTGCCTTCAATCCTTACATTCCAATTTTAAGTCTGAACATCTTCCAAAAAGAGGCCTTTGAGTACTACTCCAATAATTTCACCAGGCTCTGGGTCTGACATTTTACAGATTCCTTAATTTACAGGGTATAAGATTCAAATAAAAGCAGCAAAATACCATTATTTTGGTATAATTAATGGGAGCTGGTCAGTTAACAGTGTTTATTAAGTACTACCTTCTGCTAATACATGAAAGAAATGAAAATATTTAAAAAGAAAGAAAGGAAATCTAGTTCCTGACTCCATGCCAAGGTATGTTACCATTTTATCTGTAAAGAAGGTATGTGCTCCGGGTCCTCTGGCATCTTCTCAATTCCTGATATAAGCTGAGCAGCCTCCCTCTACAGGCCTTTGAACATTCTTTTCTATGCATTTTGATGTTCCCACTCCCATCTCCTTCTGAACTTAGCATAAACATCATTTCCTCAGAGAAGCCTCCCGAGGTCTCCTGTCTAGGCCAGGCTCACTGTTGTGTGCTCTCACTGTACCTCTCTCTTCCTTCAGAGAACTTACTGTATCATCCCACATTCATTAGAGTGAGGATATGCCCAACAACCATCCTCCTCACTAACCCATAGATTCCAAAAGATCAAGGACTGGGTCTGTCTGTCTTTATTACAGTTTTACTCATAGCATCTAGCTAAGTGATGGCTTATAGTTGAAGCTCAGTGAACACCGAGAGAGAGAGAGAGAGAGAGAGAGAGAGAGAGAGAGAGAGAGAGAGAGAGAGAAAATGAAAGACTGAGAAGGAATAAATATGAATATAAAGAATATATGACTTCCAAAAGACTGAGGCAAACACAGATATCTCTTCTTACTACAGATCTGTAGTAGGTATTTAAGTATTTGGTCTTTATGAAAAATGGAATAATATTGTTAAAGAAAATTATGAGAGTGAAAAATGCATTCTTGTATCAATTACTCTAAGAGCAGTTATTTTTTTCTGTAGTTTTTCTGCTTGTGTGTGTATGTATTTTTTGTTTGTTTTGAGGCAGGGTCTCACTCTGTTGCCCATGCTGGAGTGTGGAGTGCAGTGGTACAATCATGGCTCACTGCAGTCTCGACCTCCTAGGCTCAGGTGATTTTCCCACCTCAGCTGTCTGAGTAGCTGGGACTACAGGCGCACACCAACACGCCCGGCTAATTTTTGCATTTTTAGTAGAGGTGGGGTTTTGCCGTGTTGGCTAGGCTGGTCTCAAACTCCTGACCTCAGGTGATCTGCCCACCTTGGCCTCCCAAAGGATTACAGGAGCAAGCCACTGTGCTTGGCTGAGACCTAGTGTTCCTAATCTTTGTTTAAAGGCATATTTTTATAAAGTATAATTATTTATGACATTAAGAGACTAGAATTAGAAACAAAATTTTATGTGACAAGGTTTTTTCCTACAGAAACAGAGTTATCATTTATAGAAAGACAAACTTAAAAATAAATAACTTTTAAGGCTATTGAATAGAAAACTAAATAGTAGGTGCATGATTTGAACATACTGTATACTCATACTTTGGCATCTGGACACAGTATTACACACCTGTTTTTGTATGTTAGACGAACAGTCCTTGTACCTTCACATTTTCCAGGCTGCTGTTCTTTGGAAGCCTGTTCCCATTTGGAAATAATGTCACAAATCTAGAAAGAAAGTGGAAAACTGAGATTTATAAGGCTTTTCAAGTCAACATTTTTTGAAGACAAGTGTGTCTGTAGACTGAAAATTTTCAATTAATATCATCAAACCAAACATACTCAAGCTTTTTGCTTTCAGCGTCTGTGCGGCTCTGAGTTTAGGATGTACTTATCAATTGCTCTTTGGTCCACTTATCCTTTTGGACACACATTAACTTTGGACTGTGGCCATGCATTTTTTACTCAAAAAGGAATCTTAATGCACAACTGCCTGAAACTGGAAACAAGAAGATTCCAGGGATTTTTTCATGATTTGGTCACTGAAGAAGCAATTTTTTCAACTTCTGAGTTCAAAAAGATTGTAATAACTGAAGTTATGTGAAAGAAATCTGAAATATCATTTATGGAAAGGGTCTAGACCCAGGTATAGCTATTTGATTTTTCCTTCTCTAGGCTTCAGTTTTCTCATTTGCAAAATAAGTGCACTGTTTCTCTAAGGTCCCTTGTGGTTCTATAATTCTATTTTTTTCTCTTTTTATTGAGATGGAGTTTCACTCTGTCGTCCAGGCTGGAGTTCAGTGGTGCGATCTCGGCTCACTACAACCTCTGCTTCCTGGGTTCAAGTGATTCTCCTATTTCACCTTCCCAAGTAGCTGAGACTACAGGCACCCACCACCACGCCCGGCTAATCTTTTTGTACTTTTAGTAGAGACAGGGTTTCACCATGTTGGTCAGGCTAGTCTCAAGTTCCTGACCTCAAACGATCCACCCACCCTGGCCTCTCAAAGTGCTGGGATTACAGGCATAAGCCACTGTGCCTGGCCTAATTCTATAGTTCTAATTATTGCCATTACTAAATGGAAGCTCTATTAAAGTTATTTTACTATGATCTAGAAAAGATTCTTTTAAAATCTCTCCCTCTTCATTTCCACAGGTCTGTTTTCTTTTCTTTTTCTTGAGATAGAGTGTTGCTCTGTTGCCCAGGCTGGAGGGCAGTGGTGTGATCACGGCTTGCTGCAGCCTCAACCTTATGGGCTCAAATGATTCTAGTGCTTCAGCTTCCAGAGTAGCTGGCACCACAAGTGTACACCACCACATGGGGCTATTTTTCGTAGTTTTAGTAGAGACAGGTTTTTGCTGTGCTGCCCAGGCTGATCACAAACTCCTGGCCTCAAATGATCTACCTGCCCAGGCCTCCCTAAGTGCTGGGATTACAGTTATGAGCCATTGTGCCAGGCCACAGGTCTGTTTCATAAACCATTTTTCATTTCCAGCTCAGGCCTTCCCTAATTCCCAATGCTGAACTTAATCTCTCTCTTTCTGTGCTAAGTTCACAGCACTCTTAAAACTTTTATCATTTTCAACCCTAGTTCAAGGTTATCTGTGTATAAGGCTGCTTTTCCCTAAGCAGGTGTTAAGTTCACTGTGGGCAGGGACTATTTCTGGTCCTTTTGTATTTCCCACAGAGTCCAGCCAGCCATTGGGATACAACAAAATAGTTCAGTCAGTATTGCTGAATAAATGAAAAAAATGGAAAGCCATTTTATTAGAGCTTGTACATACCTACCCTTATTATCCTAATATTTAGAGTATCATTACCATTACTAACACTTTGACTCTCTTTAATATGGAGTGTGTATGTGTAGAGATTGTGTTTTAAGAATTCTGTGGGTTCAACAAAGTCCTGCATTTTTTTTTCTTATCCTGGAGATTAGATTGCTTAAATTTTTGGAAAACTCCTGAACTAAACTTCTTGCAAAGTTTACTCTTCTTGTAAAGAGTAGCTTCTCTGCTATTCTCTGGGCTTGGTTCCTTAAAAGGACTTGGCTTCACCTTGATGTTTCCTTGAAGACAATGCTCTAAATCTCTGCCAGAAGGATCGTCTGTGAACAACGCAAATCCAGACTGTGCTGGTTTCCTCATTCCTGTGTCCTGGTTCAAAGTATTCAAAAATTCTTCCACTGTGGTAGATGCATCAAAACCGACTACCTAGACAGAAATAACAAAGCGGTTCTCTTAATAAGAAATATAGAGTTTCAAACTGAGATTTCAAGGATAAAACAGAGTGTACTTGATGCATGATTAATGATAACACATATTTTTCTAGGTCCTTTAACTTTTTTTTCCCAAAGCTCCTCTGGAGACAATTAATAAGGATACCTCAGCAATCAGCTTGCTGAAGAATCAAAAATCTCTGCATCAGCCAACAGACATGAATCCAAAATCGAATGATCAATTGATAGCTATACATATTTTGCAAAGATATTATGCTTACCCATTAGAAGCAAACCAAGAACTATAGTACAATATGCTATCTTTAATCAAATGGAAGAATATAAACAAGAAATATATTTAAATAAATAAACACTTTTATGTATTTAATGTTTGTTTCCTTAATAGGCAGTTAAGTATCTGAATTCTGTGACAAAAGGCATATGGCTACAAAGACTAATTGCTAGTTTGGGAACATGTTTGCTTCAATTAATAAGCAAGCATCTAGAGCTGAGAACTGGAAGGGCCTAGTGAAGTTTTCCCAGATAATTTCTGAGATTTGGAGATTTTAAAAGGGACTAAACCCGGTATCAGTAATTATTGCCACACCTAGCAGGTGTACTGATGGGAGAAAGCCCCAACCAAAGTGTTTTTATTTTCTCTCCATCAGAATCACAATGGTAGGGAAGCCCATCACTTGGTTCAATACAGATTTGTTATTAGTGTGAATCCTTTGTAGCAAAACTGTTTCAAAACTCAGCTATTCTGATAGTAAGTCTAAAATATTTATATGTTTATCACTGCCAGGTGCTGACAAAAGTAGGCAGAGAAGTCCCTGTTCCCTATAACAGAGGTTGTACATAGGCTTGTCAGCTAAGCATATTTTCATCAGGAAACCTACCTGGTATATCCCATTCATGAAGTGCACAGGTATACTAAAGGGCAAAGAATGGTGATAAGGGTTTCGGAGAAGAGTTGAAAGAATTTCCATCCTTGAGGGTCTTGCTTCTCTGTCACCATTTTGTTGCGTTCTTTCTACACATCTCTGGCAGTAAATGGCATATTTTCCAAATTCTGTCCTGTAATACAAAACTTAAGATAAAATCTAAGAATAAATTTAATTGACAACCTAATATATGCAACCATTAAGAAAGCATCCCTAGTACTTTATCACAATGGATTGGGCTAATTTCAACAGCAACTTTTTTTTGAATGATAACACTAAACTGCTGTAACTTTTCTCAAATTCCAGCCTCTTTATTTTTGCAACTGCTTGACTCAATCGTCCCCAACCAAGCATTCTTCATCTTTACTGTATTATCAGAGTCATAAGCTGAATTTAAAATTACCAGTCATAAGTCAATATACAGTGATTTAACAAATATAAAAAAAAGCAACCGCATGAAGAATAGTAGAGAGTTAACTTATAAAAACATGTTACAGCAGAATTCTCTTCTGAAGAACATGGTGGTTAATGCTTGACTGCTAAGTATACAAGTATAAAAATATTAACAGAGGTTATCTTTAGGTAGCAGCGGTGGCTCATGCCTGTAATCCCAGCACTTTGGGAGGCCTAGGTGGGCAGATCACCTGAGGTCAGGAGTTCAATACCAGCCTGGTCAACATGGTGAAACCCTGTCTCTATTAAAAATACAAAAAATTAGCCAGGTGTGGTGGCACATGCCTGTAGTCCCAGCTACCTGGGAGGCTGAGGCAGGAGAATTGCCTGAACCTTGGAGGTGGAGGTTGCAGTGAGCCAAGAATGTGCCATTGTACTCCAGCCTAGGTGACAGAGTGAGACCCTGTCTCAAAAAAAAAAAACAAACTTCAAACAAAAATATTTTTTCTTTATTCTACAGAACACTGCATTTGTTAAAAAATGTTAAGCATCAGACAAACTCATTAGAGCAAATAAATGTAAAAGTTGGATAGAGATTTTATTTGTCCTTGTTTGTTACATATAAATTTTATGGCTTATTCAAGCACCTATAAAACATGTTTGTATTCAAGTGCCCTGTAGGCAGATCTTGATCTGGGGGCTCCTCAGTGACTGCAAGTGAAATAACATGACCTTGATCACAGATGACCTTGATCACGGAGGCCCCAAAATGTATTATGAACTGTAGAATATTTTCCTATTGCTTCCAAGTTGGGTTTTTGTTGCTGTTGTTATTTGTTTGTTTTAGTCCAAGAGTTTATTTAAGCAACCTAACACAAGCCTCTTGGTGGACAAAACGACCCTGGATAAGCCTTGGCTGGGTGACCTGGGCCCCTCTGTAAGAAAGCCATTCTGGAAGTTGAACATTCAATGTCTTTTTCAAAGGAGTAACACTTCTGAAGTAATTCCAATACGTACAGTTAGAAAAGGAGGGAAGACCATGGGAGAAATTTTTCACATAAAATAATTCAACGTGGAGAAAAATAGTAAAAGGAAAAACTAAGGAAATGAAATAGTTGCTTTTATTGAATGAATACTCACTAATGCTAAGTCATTCATACTTGAAATACACATACACTTTTCACTTAAAAATATTCTCTGTCAGTTTTTCAAGCATTTATTGCAATCTTCTGCAGGAGGTAACATAACATAGGAATACTTTCCAATGTCTACATCAATGATAACCAAAGGCTTCCTGTACCAGTATTTATTTCATACATTCTTCTGAAAATGTACCTGGCAGGTCATTAAATACTTATGATTTTTCGTAGATTTTCAGAGACCACATAAACAGTTCAGCTGGCTAGTATTCTGCACACCTGGAATCTGCATTCCTCTTTAGGTGAATCCTGAGGAGCCACAGGAAAGGATGATGGGGAAGGAAGAGCCCAACGCAGAGTGCCAAGAGCTGCCAGCCCTGGGCAAGGAGAAGCACCACAGGTTAGATATAACATCCCAGTTAGAGATCCACAGCAGAATTCATGCAATGGGCTGACGACAGTCTCTCTTAACCCAAAAACGTTTTGCTTCTTTCACATATGCATGATCTGTTTACAGCATTTATAATAGGTTAAAAACAAAAAACTTTACATTGGGTCAGATCTATGATCCATCTAGTTGTGTATATGGTTATCTACAATGAAGGGACCAAAGAGTAAGCAGACATGGTGCTCCTTTTGACATCGCACAAAAAGATTACAAACTCTGTTTCTTTTTTGTTCACTTATGTATTTACTCATTCATTAAAATACAAGTAACAGTTTTGAGAAAGGTAGACTGCAAAACAGTAAAAAACACATGCCCTAAATCAAAACCAATCTACCTATACATACATAAATAAGGGACAAGTATAAAAATATTAACAGAGGTTATCTTTAGATAGCAGCATTATATGTGATTTTTATTTTTCCTTTGCTTTGTTTTGTATTCTTCTTTCCATGTTTTTCAAAGAAGTACAAAACATGTTACAACAAAATTCTCTTCTGAAAAACATGGTGTTTAATGTTTGACTGCTAAATAAGATTAAAAAAAGTCTTTAAACAAAAATAATAATTTTTTCTTTCTTTATCCTATAAAACATGCATGGCCAGGTGCAGTGGCTTCCACCTGTAATCCCAGCACTTTGGGAGGCCGAGGAGGGTAGATCACCTGAAGTCAGGAGTTCGAGACAAGCCTGGCCAGCATAGTGAAACCCTGTCTCTACTAAAAATACAAAAATTAGCCCGGCGTGGTGGTGGGCACTTGTAATATCAGCTACTCAGGAGGCTGAGGCAGAAGAACCACTTGAACCCGGCAGGTGGAGGCTGCAGAGAGCTGAGATTGTGCCACTGCACTCCAGCCTGGGCGACAAGAGGAAAACTCCATCTCAAAAAAAAAATGTTAAGCATTAGACAAACTAATCATTAGAGTAAATAAATATAAAAATAGGGTAGAGATCTTATTTGCCCTTGTTTGTTATATATCATTTTTCAGTCACTTTAAAAAACATTATACTAACAAAGAGGGAGAAATAGGCATTGTCCCTGCCCTTAAGGAGCCTACATTCTACTAGGAGACAGTTATATATTTAAACAGTAAATTATAATACAACATGGTAATACCATGTATTAACTTTTTAAAGCATAACGAATGGGAGGAATGAGTTAGGGAAGGGATCACAGGAAATATGTTGCTTGGGCTGCGCTATAAAGTCTATGGGAGGGAAGTAAGAGGAGAGATCCAGGTAACAAATACCATCAGGTGCAAAGTGGAGAATACCACAAAGGCAGAGCATGTTTGAAGGATGGGCAATTTATTCATTCACTGTATGCTGGAGGCAGGAAGTGGAGAAAGATGGGGACAGGGAAGACAGGTTATGAAATGCTCTTGATGCAGATGAAGCTTAAGTTTCAGATTCCCTCTTGGGCACAGGCCCTGGGAAAGGCCCTGTTAACTGTGTTTACAAGGTCATATGTTTTCTAAAATATGCAAAAGTCTTCCATTTCAAGTATCTGTCTTAATGAGCATTTCACAAACTGTTTAAGCTTCAAGTCTCACAAGACCTGGATCCAACCCTGAGAGTCCTGTATGCAAAGGTAAAAAATTTCTGATTTATCTGGTGACTAACAGGGAGTCAATACAAAGATAAAAACAGGTGTTCATTGAAGAATAAACATAGATGACTACAAAACACCTAAAAAATATATTTAACTGCACTAACAAAGAAATGAATCCTGGATCAATAGTGAAACATCATTTTCACCTGGAAAGAATTTAAAATATGCTGATTATTGTTGAATATAAAGGAAAATTCTAAAAATGAGTTCAAAGGAATTCACTGGACCTGTACACGAGATTTAGGTTCAAAGATGTCTACTGTAGAGGTATTTATTACAGTAAAAATTTGAAAAATCTAAATACATAGTAATCAATGTTAACATCACCATTAATGTTTTGAAGAACATCTAAGGATATAGGGGAAATGATTATTTTCTACAGTTTAAAAAAGTAGTACGGGGCTGGGCACGGTGGCTCACGCCTGTAATCCCAGCACTTTGGGAGGCCGAGGCGGGTGGATCACGAGGTCAAGAGATCGAGACCATCATGGTCAACATGTTGAAACCCCGTCTCTACTAAAAATACAAAAAAAAACTCAGCTGGGCACAGTGGCACGTGCCTGTAATCCCAGCTACTCAGGAGGCTGAGGCAGGAGAATTGCCTGAACCCAGGAGGTGGAGGTTGCGGTGAGCCGAGATCATGCCATTGCACTCCAGAGTGAAACTCCATCTCAAAAAAAAAAAAAAAAAAAAAAAAAAAAGTAGTACGAAAACTGTAACTCCAGTAATATAAAAAACTGTGAGTATGTACACACCAACATACATACAGTTAAATATAAACACATAAATATATAAATAAACCAAAAAGTTAGATATGAAAATATTAACAGCTATTTTTCTTATGCACACACCAACATACATACAGTTAAATATAAACACATAAATATACAAATAAACCAAAAAGTTAGATATGAAAATATTAACAGCTATTTTTCTTCTGCACTTTCTGTATTCTCCAAATATCTACGCTGAATGTGTATCACTCTTACAATCAGAAAAACAATATCACTTTAAATTACATGTATATGTATCTACCTGCAATGGTCCTGGTTGATTCTGTGGCTGTCTCCGTCTTGTCTGTTTAATAAGCTGACAGCAAATTTCATTCTGCAGCTCAGGATGTGTCAGACAGATTTGCAAAGCACTCTGGGCTAGAGATATATGGTAATCAATTGCAGGGGAGTCAACTGCAGCATTTATAAAAAGCTGGCAGGTCTGAATTAAACAAAAAGGAGATATATTCAAGGTGAGGAGTGATAAGATTTATTGTGCATGAATTATATCACTTCTCTTTTCAGCAGTAGTTTTTGTTTAAAACGATGAGAAAGGATATATTATGATAACACTAATCAAAAGAAATCTGGAGTCACTACAATAATAGCACATGAAAGTAGATTTCAGAGCAAGGAATTCTGCCAGAGATAAAGAGGGTCATTTTGTAATGATAAAGGGGTCAGTTCATCTAGAAGACGTAACAATTCTAAATATGTATATACTTAATAATGTAGCTTCAAAATACATACAATCTCATCTGGTGTATTTTTCATTTTAGTCATTGCATTTTTCATCTCTAAAAATTCAATTTGCGTCTTTTTAATATCTTCTTAAAATGTTCATGCTTTCCTCTACCTTCCTGAACATGTGAAATATGGTGGCCAATCTCCAAAGTGGTCCTCCATGATCTCCATATCTTGACATTCAGATTCGTAGGTAATTCCCTCCTGTATTCTACCAGGGTTGGTCTGCTTGACTAGTAGCATGTGGTATACCATTTCTAAGACTCACTTATAAAAAACAATGTGCTTCCATCTTGGTCACTTTCTCTCTTTCCCTGTTAGATCATTTGCTCTGGGGAAGGCAGCTGCCATGTCTTGAGCAGTCATTTGGAGAGCCCCATAAAGTGAGGAACTGAGGCAGCTCTGCCAACAGCCATGTGAGAGTTTGGAATCCTCCAGCCCCATTCCAGTCTTCAGATGACTGCTGCCCCTGCTGACAGGTTGATGGTACCTTCACGAGACTATGAGTCAGAACCACTCAGCTTAACAGCTTCCAGATTCCTGACCCTTCAAAACTGTGTGAAATGCCAAATGTTATAAGTCATTAAGTGCTGGGGAAATTTTAAATGTAACAACAGACAACAGACAGAAATGTCCTTATCCACCATCACCTGCATCATTTCTAGATATGTTTCTAGGATTACTTTTTCTCACCCATTATATGTCATACTTGGCCCAATTCTCTGTATGCCTCATGATCTTTGACTGGATGCAGACGTGTGAATTTTATATTCTTGGGCACTGGACTTTTTGATATGCTTTAAATATTTTTTAGCTTTGTTCTGAGATGACAGTTAAATTACTTGGAAACAGTTTGGCACTTCCAAGGTCTCTTTTAAGTTTCTTAGAGAGGGCCAGAACAGCCTTTAGTCTAGGACTATCTGGGCTATTTTCCTGAGGCAATCATCATCTCTGTACTCTATTTGATGTCCAATGTATCAGAGATTTTTTCCATTCTAGAAGATGGGATAACTAATCCCAGCTCTGTATGAGCTGAATTTTTTTTTACCTGTGTCTTTCTGTCCTTGGCCTCAGGCACTTTCCTCATACACACACATGGTTAACAGTTCTCAGATGAAAACTGAAATCACCAGAGCTCTCCCTCCCTCCCTCTCTTTAGCTCTCTCCTCTCAGCCCTGTGATTTTTTCTTTTTTGAGACAGAGTCTTGCTCTGTTGCCCAGGCTGGAGTGCAGTGGTGACATTGCAGCTCACTTCAACCTCCACCTCCCAGGGTCATGTGATTCTCCTGCCTCAGCCTCCTGAGTAGCTGAGATTACAGGCAACTGCCAGCACACCCAGCTAACTTTTGTATTTTTAGTAGAGACAGGGTTTTCCCATATTGGCCCAGCTGGTCTCGAACTCGTGACCTGAGGTGATCCACCCACCTCAGCCTCTCAAAGTGCTGGGGTTACAGGGTAAGCCACCATACCTGACCAGCCCTGTGAAGTTTAACTACCTTGGCCTTCTCACATTCTGAACTCTGTCTCTGCAACTCAGAAAGACTGCCAGGCTCTATTTGGGTGCTCCCTCTCTGCACAGCAGTCTTGAATCTCTTGACAGTAAGCTGCAGCAATCACAAGCTTATGTCATTAGTTTTCAGCAGAATCTGCCCCGCACTGCCTATATTCATGTCTGAAAACCACCGGCGGGCAAATCTAGTCCCTGTGGCTCCATCACGGCCCAAAGTAGTTCTTCCTTTACCTTCTAACTGGTTGATGCTTGCACACATAAAGCATGCTTGTACACACATGCTTGCACACATAAAAGTGTCTAATTTTTGTTTATTTTGTGCCTCTCACTATCTTACCAAATTATCTTTCTGTTTATAGCAGTTTTTTAGTTTGTTCTTTTGGGTATTCTGGGTGTACAAATATACCATCTGTAAATATTTTCATTTATTGCCTAATTACATAGGTTAGTTCCCTAACATAATGTTAAATAATAATAATAATGACAAACTTTACATAATTTATACTTTAATTAAAAAGTTTAAAAAATAATAATGGAGCACATTTTTGTCTTTTTCTCAATTAAGTGGAAATGTTTCTAACATTTCTCCATAAAGCATGATGCTTGTTTTAGCTAAAACAGAAATATTTCATCATGTTAAAGAAGTATCTATGTATTGCTCTTGTATAAATGTTAAATTTGTCAAATGCCTTTTCAGCATCTTCAGATATGATTATCTACCTAATAAGTAATATTAATAGATATCCTAATACTTAGCCATCTTTAACTTTCTGGAATAAATCCCTTTCAATCATGATCTAATATTTTTAACATTAAAAATGTTATTGACACATAATAGTTGCATATATTAATGGAGTACATGAGTTTTTTGATACAGCATTCAATGTATAATAATCAAATCAAGGGAATTGGGATATCCACTGCTTCTAATATTTATCATTTCTTTGTGTTGGGAACATTCCAAATCTTCTCTTCTAAGTATTTTAAAAGATATTCTAAATTCTTGTTAACTATAGTTGCCCTACTGTGCTGTTGAACACTAGAACTTATTCTTTTTATATAAATGTATTTTTGTACCTATTAACCAACCTCCTTTCATCCCTCCACCCTCTACCCGCTCTGGTAACCACCATTCTATTTTACCATCTACCTCTATGAGATCCACTGTTTTAGCTCCCACCTATGAGTGAGAACATGAGAGATCTGTCTTTCTGTGTCTGGCTTACTTTACTTAACATATAGCCTCCAGTTCCATCTATGTTGCTGCAAATGACAGGGCTTAATTTTAAGGGCTGAATAATATTCCACTGTGTATATATAGTATATTTTCTTTTCTTTCTTTTTCTTGACACAGAGTCTTGCTCTGTCACCCAGGCTGGAGTGCAGTGGCATGATATAGGCTTGCTACAACCTCCGCCCCCAAGGCTCAAGCGATTCTTGTGCCTCAGCCTCCATAGTAGCTGGGACTACAGGCATGTGCCACCACACCCAGTTTATTTTTGTATTTTTAGTAGAGACACGGTTTCCCCATGTTGGCCAGGCTGTTCTCAAACTCCCGGCCTCGAGTGATCCACCGCCTTGGCCTCCCAAAGTGCTGGGATTACAGGCCTGAGTCACCTCGCTCAGCCCATCTTACGTATTCATCTATTGATGGACACTTGGTTTGATTCCATATATCGGTTCTTATAAACAGTGCTATGATAAATATAGGAATTCAGATATATCTTCAATATACTGACTTCCTTTCATTTGGATATACTCCCAGTGAGAATGCTGGATTACACAGTAGTTCTATTTTTAGTTTTTTAAGAAACCTCCATACTGTTTTCCAGAGTTGCTGCACTAATTTACATTCCCACCAATTATGTATGAGTTTTCTTCTTTCTCTGCATCCTTGACAGCCTTTTTGTCTTTTTGATAACAGTCATTTTAACTGGAGTGAGGTGATATTTCATTATGATTTTGATTTGTATTGCCCTGATGATTAGCAATGCTTAGCATTCATTCATATACTTGTTGGCCATTTGTATGTCTTCTTTTGAGAAATATCTATTGAGATCTTTTGCCCATTTTAAAATTGGATTATTTGTTTTTTGCTATTGAGTGATTTAATATTCTTAAAATGATGTTGGATTCTGATTGCTAATATTTTATTATTTTTGTACAATCTTTGCTGGGTTTCCATATGAAAGTGACCCTTACTTAACAAAGAGAATATGGTGATATAATGATTGAGGATTGCTTCAAAATGATCCAAAGTTAGGGTACAGTGGGGAATGAGAGACTAAAACAAAATTGGCCATGTGTTGATGACTGTGGATCTGAAAGATAGGTACTTTGGGCCTCATTGTAATATTCTCTCTATTCATATATGTTGGAAATTTTCCCAAGTAAAAAGTATATGAAAAACTTGAATTTGGAAAATTTATTTCTTTTTCTACTCTTTGGGACAATTTAAACAGCACTGAAATTCTGTACATATAAAGTTTGGTAAATGCCTCTGTTTAGATTTTCAGCTTCCTGTGGAATCAATTTTGGTCATTTATATTTTCTTATAAAACTGACCACTTCTTTTATTTTCAAATATGTTTGTATAGTCTTTCTTGCTTTAGGCATTTGTGTATTCTACAGGTGTATTTGTGTATTCTATTTTTAAATTTTTAATTATAGAAATTTTAAAAATGTATAAAAGTAGAGAGAACAGCATAATAATCACTCATGTACCCATCACCCAGTGTCAATAATTATCAGCATTTTGCCAAATTTCACTACCTTCCCACCTCTACTTTCCTTTCTTCTGGAGTATTTGATTGTATATCATATTACTTTACCAATAAATACTTCAGGCTAGATCTCCAATTGATAAAGTTTTTTTTTATAGCCATCATCATTACCCAAATTAACAATAATTCCATAATATTATCTAATAAACAAATGGATTTTTTGAGATGGGAGAAACTTAGGTAAGACAAAGCAAAAAGAAAGAGATTGAAGCTCCAAGAGAGTAGGGGAAAATGAAGTAGTACCAAGATCCTGGTGTAGAGTCCAGACTCGGAAATGCAGAAGGTCCACCATATTCTGGGGCTAGAGGAGTGGAGGAGAAAAGAGATGAAAGGTTGTCTGTCAATGGGAGGGTTTTATGGTGGTCATGTCATGTCTGATTTCCTCCAGTTTTTTCAGTGAAATAGAAGGTAAGTTTCTCTGCTGTATTATTAAGTAGAGAGTTTGAGAGGGATGTGACCAAAGAGAAGCACAGAGACAGAAAGTTGGCTGCAAGGGATGAAGACCATGAATTTATAGTGGCAACAGGCTACATGACTGTCTGATGCTCTGCAGCACTGCACATCCGGTTATCCCGGGAGCAGAAAACGTGGCAATGATCTAGACTAGGATCTGCTGAAGAGTGCATGGAAGTGTGGATCCCAAGGAACTACGAGAATTAATAGGAGCAAACCAGACTGGATAAGGAAGGAAGAAAAGCTAAGACACAGTTATCATGATCTCAAAGAAAATAAATGGTTCAAACAAAGGTCTTAGAGATGACGAAAAAATGGAAGAGTTAAAAAAAAAAATAAGTGTGCTTTTAGGCCAGCATTCTGGTTAAAGAAAGAGATACTCGAATTGAAGCTTTTAGAGGTGACGTACTTGTGAAGAACGGTGAAGTCAGGTGTGGACATGGAGAATGGGATAATGTAGGATACTAGAGGTGAAGCTTACTGGAATTAAGAAGGTCAAGAATCTTAAAACCATAGCATTGGTGAGTGAAGTGATAAAAGTAATTTGCAAGACTTCAGGTAGAGAATGTGAGTTGGGAGCTAAAATCCTTAGATAATTTTTCTTTTCTTTTGAGACAAAGTTTCGCTCTTGTTGCCTGGGCTGGAGTGCAGTGGTGTGATCTCAGTTCACTGCAACCTCCACCTCCTGAGTTCAAGTGATTCTCTTGCCTCAGCCTCCCAAGTAGCTGGATGACAGGCATGCACCACCATGCTCAGCTAATTTTGTATTTTTAGTAGAGATGTGGTTTCACCATGTTGGCCAGGCTGATCTCAAACTCCTGACCTCAGGTGATCCACCCTCCTCGCCCTATCAAAGTGCTGGGATTACAGGCGTAAGCCACCATGCCCAGCCCTTAGAGAAATTTGAAGAGTTACCAGAAGGTAACTGATGATAGAAATGGAAGGATAAAGAGTATTAGTTACTTGGCAAGTTTTGAGTAATCAGGGATTTCTAATAGAGATTGAGGAATAAGGAACAAAGAGTAACACTAGAGAGGAAGGAGTGCTCACCCCTCTCCCAGTGCTGCACTTGGTGTGATGTGAAAAATTAGAGGTTAAAGGGGAAATGATTCATCTGATACTACATTGACCAAACCACACATATTAATAGTTTATTTCAATAAATCCAAAATCCTCACTCAGAAAGCATATTAAATTCACCTAATTTTATTTCAATGATTTTCTTAATAATAATAATAAACACATTTTGAATTTTCTGGGAGTAAACTTTTATAACCCAAATTATTATTTTTAATTTTATTCCAATGAAATTATTTAACAACATATAGGTATTTTACCTTAAATAATTTAATAGCTTCTGTCTGTAGGGCTTCAGAAGGTAGAGTTGTCAGGGGGGAAATGATTCCTTCTTTGCTGTGACACAAAGTGGGGTGTCTCCATATCTGAGAGGCTAAGTGCAGAATAAAATATAAACAGAAAACTGAATAAACCACTTATTTTGGCCTCCTATTAAATTAATCCTTTAGACATTAGCTCATTCAGGCTTGGCTCACAACTTTAAGTCACAAAGGTCAGAAAAAACCCTTGGCAACATTATTTTATTTTGGTTGCCAGGTCATTGGGACTCTTTGACAAGTTTCTGTTTTTCTTTTTTTTGTTTTAGTTTAAAAATTTTCCATAGGTTTTTGGGGAATAGGTGGTATTTGTTTATATGAGTAAGTTCTTTAGTGGTAATCTGTGAGATTTTGGTGCACCTATCACCTGAGCAGTATATACTGAACTTGACTTGCCTCACCCACTTCCCACCCTTTCCCCGAGTCCCCAAAGTCTACTGTGTCATTCTCATGCCTTTGCATCCTTACAGTTTAGCTCCCACTTATGAGTGAGACGTGTTCCTGTTTTGGACAATCTAAAAGAGTTGGGTCCTAATTTGCTAGGCTGCAATAAGTCTAGCAGGGTACTATCACACTGCTTAAATGTGCTTAAGATTGGTAACCTAGGTAGAGGGCATGACTATATATGAGAAAAAGCTGGGGAAAGACCTAGAACTTCTCTAGAGAGGAGAAGCCAATGTAGAAAGAGATATAAAGAGGAATTTAAAGGCTTTCCTGAAATCAACATTTATTAAATTTCTATGTTGGACACAGCAAATAAAATGTGGTCTCTCTTAGTATGTAAAGGATAGGATAGGATCTCAATAGGAAAACTTTAACCATAAAAATTAATTTTGGGCCAGGCACAGTGGCTCATGCCTGTAATGCAGCACTTTGGGAGGCTGAGGTGGGCAGATTGCTTGAGCTCAGGAGTTTGAGACCAGTCTGTTCAACATGACGAAATCCCCATCTCTACCAAAGATACAAAATCAGCTAGGCATGGTAGTGCACGCCTGTGGTCCCAGCTACTCAGGAGGCTGAGGCAGGAGGATTGCTTGATCCCAGGAGGCAGAGGTCATAGTGAGCTGAGAACACGCCACTGCACTCCAGCCTGGGTGACAGAGTAAGACTTCATCTCAAAAACAAAACAAAACAAAAAATTTCAATGGAAAACTATAAATGCTATAAATCTTTTAGCTTCCCTGGGCCATACTGGAAGAAGAAAAAACTCAAAAGGAATTTCAAAATGTTTTAAGGAAGTTTGGGAATTTGTGTTGGGCAACATTCTAAGCCATCCTGGGATGAATTCAGCCTGTGGGTTACAGGTTGGACAAGCTTGCTATAAAATAATTAAGGGATAAATTGCATTAGCACATAATTTTAACATTGACAAAGCGCCTTTTATGAGCCAGATGCAGGGCTGGCTGGAGGATCTCCTAAGGCTAGGTGGGGTTTTGTGATGTTGGTAAGGACTGCCAAGGAAGGGGGCATTCCAAACAGAGGAGCAATGGGAGGAAAGGCAGAGGTGATGGGACACAGTGAGGAATGATGGTGTCCCGGCAGCCAAGGAGCCACAGAAAGAATTCTCTCCCATGAAGAGCAAAGGCAAAGAAAAGGTGGGTATATTTCAGGGAAACAGGTACCCATTAAGTGAAAATTCGATTAGGCTAAGGGGGTTGAGGTCCATTTCATAAACCATAAAGCTTTATTTATATGTTTATGAACTTACAAGGCTCCCCGTCTATATTTAGCAATTTGCAAACCAGTTGTTCAAATTCAGATCCAACATTTATATTGTTGCTTCCAGCTGCAACAGTCAGGTGATAAAGCCAAGTGTCCTTGAAACCAGAACATATTAATAGAAATGTTAAGATATAGTTTTGATTACTCAAAGAAAAAAACAACCTGCATAAACAGAAAACTCTGAGATGGAAAAGAACAACTTGCTTTAATTTTTAAATAATAATGAAGAGACTTTTATTCAAACAATTCTCAGGCATGCTCACTTGAACTTGCTTATGTTACCTTTTCCCATTATTCACATTTTTCTTATTTTCTTCAGATGCTTCTTAGAAAAGCATGACAAAATTAAGAAGAATACATGTTAAGAGACTAAATACAACCAGCTGAAATTCTTTTACAAAATACAATAAATTCTATTAAATTTAAAATCTGACTCCCAGAGTGATACATACAGAATATTTTGGAAATCCAGAAAATTTAAAGAAAACATAATATCTATCTTATCCCACTCACCCAAGATTACTGGTCTATTTTCCTCTATGGAAATGTATATGTAGATTACATTTTTACAAAGTTGAATTATTCTAAAAGTAGAGGATAATTTCTGAATTTTAGTAATATAGTACAAGCACTCCCTCATTGCTAGAAATTCTTTATAAACAAGTTTTAATGGCTGCAGGATATCCTATTACACATACAGACATACCATATTTATGTAATCAATTTCTTATTGTTGAACATTATAATAGTTACTAACTTCTCACTGATAAAAAATACTGTGACAGCTATCGTCTTTTAACTAAAAAGGAAATGTTATATTTTCCATATTTAAAAATTTCAAAACTAAAATCACTTTAAAAAGAGTATTATAGGCTGGGCATGGTGGCTTACACCTGTAATCCCAGCACTTTCGGAGGCGGAAGTGGGCGAATCACCTGAGGTCAGGGGTTCGAGACCAGCCCGGCCAACATGGTAAAACCCCGTCTCTATTAAAAATACAAAAATTAGCCAGGCATGGTGGTGCCTGCCTGTAATCCCAGCTACTTGGGAGGATGGGGCAGGAGAATCACTTAACCTGAGAGGCAGAGGTTGCAGTGAGTCGAGATCACGCCACTGCACTATAGCCTGGGCGACAGAGTAAAACTCTGTTTCAATAAAGAGTATTGTGTCAAACAAACTATACATAAATTTTTGGCTGCATTTATTAACATTTTCTTTTTCTTATTTATTTATTTATTTTTGAGATGGAGTCTCACTGTTACCCAGGCTGGAGTGCAATGGTGCAATCGCAGCTCACCGCAGCCTCTGATTCCCAGGTTCAAGTGATTCTCCTGCCTCAGCCTCCCTAGTAGCTTGGATTACAGGTGCCTGCAACCATGCTCAGCTGATTTTTGTATTTTTAGTAGAGTTGGGGTTTTACCACAGGCTAATTTTGAACTCCTAAACTCAGGTGATCTACCTGCCACAGCCTCCCAAAGTGCTGGGATTACAGGCATAAGCCACCGTGCCCAGCCAATCTTTTCTTAGTATACATTTTCTGAAATAGAATTATGAGTCATTACCAGGGCATAAAAACTTTTAGGAACTCTTGAAAAATATTTTCAAAGTACTTTCCAAAGCATTTACACTAATTTCTGTTCCCACCAGTGATATATAGAAGTGCTTCCCCTCTCATAGCTTCACTTGCATAATTTTTTAAACCTTTATAATCTGAGAGACAATAAAAGCTTTATCATGTTTAAATGTGCATATCTTTGATTACAGATGAGCATAAGCATTCGTTAGCCATTAAATTCCTCAGTAAGTTGTTCATCAAGCCCTCTTTCCATTTTTCTACTAGAAACATAGTCCTTTTCAAATCAAATGAGAGGCAACAGAGGCAAGTGTTCAGGAACACAGGCTCTGTGGTTAGAGACAGGGGTCTAACACCAACTCAGCCTCTTGCCAGATGTGTGACCACAGGAAAGTGCTTCAGTCTTTCCATCTACAAATGCGAATACTGTCACCTCCCATAGAGGGTAATTGGAAGGATAAAGAAGAGACATGTCTAACACCAACTCAGCCTCTTGCCAGATGTGTGACCACAGGAAAGTGCTTCAGTCTTTCCATCTACAAATGTGAATACTGTCACCTCCCATAGAGGGTAATTGGAAGGATGAAGAAGAGACATACTTAGCACTTGGCCTGATACACGTGCTCAAAAACAATGATCAGTAGCAACAATAATAATCTATAAAGAGTTCTTTATATGTTAAAGATACAGTAGCCATCCATGAAATACTTTGTTTTCTGTATTATCTTTTTAGTCATTTTTTATGGTCAAATGATCTTTATTATTTTCATTTTTAAAAAAATTTATTTATTTTACTTTAGGTGCATACTATATCTGGCATTTCTCCCATGTTATTTCTCCCATGTTATCCCTCCCCACTCTCCCCTCCCTCCGCACACATTGCTGTCTCTCCCTTACCCACCCCCAACTGCCCCCAGTGTGTGATGCTCCTCTCCCTGAGTCCATGTGTCCTCACTGTTCAGCACCCGCCTATGAGTGAGAACATACGGTGTTTGCCTTTCTGTTCTTGTGTCAGTCTGCTGAGAATCATGGTTTCCAGATTCATCCAAGTCCCTACAAAGGACACGAACTCCTCGTTTTTTATGGCTGCATAGTATTCCATGGTGTATATGTACATTTTCTTTGTTTAGTCATATTTATATTAATATTTGATATACAGAAGTATTTCAATATTTAAGTATTTCAATAGTCAAATCTATCAACCATTTGCACTCTGATTTCTTACACTGCCTTTTTTTTTTTTTTTTTGAGACGGAGTTTCGCTCTTTTTACCCAGGCTGGAGTGCAATGGCGCAATCTCGGCTCACCGCAACCTCCGCCCCGTGGGTTCAGGCAATTCTCCTGCCTCAGCCTCCTGAGTAGCTGGGATTACAGGCACGCACCACCATGCCCAGCTAATTGTTTGTATTTTTAGTAGAGACGGGGTTTCACCATGTTGACCAGGATGGTCTCAATCTGTTGACCTCGTGATCCACCCGCCTCGGCCTCCCAAAGTGCTGGGATTACAGGCGTGAGCCACCACGCCCAGCCCCTTTTTGTTTTCTTAGAAAGTACTTCTGATTCAGAAATTAAGAAAAGGCCTTTTAAAAAAATAGTTTCATTGAATTCTCTTAACTCTTTAAATTCATCTGGAAATTATTTTGCTATCTGTATGAGATGAAAGACTAAACTAATGTTTCCTAAGTAGGCAATTTCCTCAATATATAATAAATACATAATCCTATGTATTGAATGATACATTACTTCCCCATTAATCTGTGATGACTCCTTTATCATAAACGACTACATGTATATATAACACATAAAATCATTTTCACTTGTATCTAAGCCCAAATTTTATTGAAAATAAATCAAAAACATAAAATGGAGGCCTTAGATTTACTAAAAAATGTTCCATCTGAGAGATCCACATTTTTAACATAATGTCCTTTAGCCATGCAATTCTATGCACTAATTTCAGCCTTGATACCACTTTTACAACAGGACTGGAAAATGACACATTTCAACAAGGCTCATTTCCAGGGAGGTAAAGAATCTCTGAAAACAGAGCTAAAAGTCTATAGCAAAATTTTCTTCCTTACTTTCATTAAATTGATTTGACAATTATTACCAATATCTGAATAATATTAGTCTATATCAACCAATATGTCTTAGAATACCTTTTCATGCTTGGATCCAATTAGGAGGTAAGTCGGACCTTGGTCTTTGGGATGGATAACGATGGTATAATGTGTGGATAACAGACTACGTCCACTGGCTTCGTAATCTTCATCTGAATCACAAGATCTGTCAACCTCTTCCACTTTAGCCTCCCAGAGTTTGATCTGACCTAAAGGAAACTAAAGTAAATATTAGTAATTGTGAGGAAGGCACTTTCCAAATCTTTTCTTACTAAAATGTTTCATAGTCCTTTTCATTTTTACCTTTATAAAGCATACCTTTTAAATTTGTATTTTATTTTTTATTTTCTCCTTTTTTAAAATTTTTTTATTTTTTTAATTTTTATTTTTTATTGCATTTTAGGTTTTGGGGTACATGAGCAGAGCATGCAAGACAGTTGCGTAGGTACACACATGGCAGTGTGTTTTGCTTCCTTTCTCCCCATCACCCACATTTGGCACTCCTTTTTTTTTTTTTTTTAAGAGATAGGGTCTCCTCTGTCTCCCAGGCTGGAGTAGAGTACTGAGGTACAATCAGTAACCTCACTGTAACCTCTAACTCCTGGGCTCAAGGGATCCTTCCTTCTCAGCCTTTCAAATAGCTAGCACTACAGGCACATGCCATCATGCCCAGCTAATGAAAAAAATAATTTTTTTTTTGGAGATAGGGTTTCACTACATTGCCTAGGCCAGTCTCAAACTCCTGGGCTCAAAGAATCCTCCTGCCTCAGCCTCCCAAAGTGCTGGGATCATAAGCGTGAGCCACCACTCCAGCATAACATGCCTTTTTAAAAATGATGCCTAGAGGCAATTTGATTATCCTCAGTATAACAAAACTAGTGGTAACAACCAAAGAGCCCAACAGTAATATGAAAGAACAATACATATACTAGAGATTTAACTTTTGAGGAAAAAGCAAGATGCTACTTCTGAATGGTAGTTCAGATGATTCAGCTGTACTAAAATTGTTAAAGGAGGCAGAAAGAAATTATTTAGGTAGACAGTTAGGGTGAAGCGAGTCCCCAACAGAAAGCTTTCCTTTTAACAAAAAGCAGCTCAAAGATAGCTCCCCTTCTAAACTCACACAGTTCAAGGAAATCACTTCTCTTCTAACAACTAGCAGCCTGAAAGAGCAGACAGAAAAACACAGATAAGACAGCTTCAGCACAGAAGGAGTGGGGAAGACCTCCTGGGTAATCACCAAACTTCACACTGATACAGTGGGTCCCCAATAAAACAGACAGTCTTAATAAGCACATTATGTTCCCTTTGGCTACACTAAGATAGGAAAGCTAAAAGCAGACTGCGGGGGATGCCTGCAGCTGCAAGATGAGAACAGACACAGAAACTCTCCCTCCCAGAGAAGCAGGACAAAGAAACACAGACTGAGTCGGCCTATGTGGTCAAGGAATGGCACATAAGAGTTGATAAAAAAACTCTGCTCTGTACAGATAGCACACCTAGTCCCAACTAAACCATCAGGAGAATAGTATATTCCCTCCTTATGAGCCCCCTTCTTGCTAGCCTATTTATAAAAACCCTGACATTTTTACTACAACTTGGCAACCCACTAGGACCCCCCTCTCTGTGATGGAAAGCTGTCTTTCCTTTTGCACTATCTATTAAACTCCTGCTCTAAACTCACTCTGTTTATGTGTGCATCTGTGACCTCGATCTCCTTGCCCGTGAGAACAAGAACCTTGGTATTTTCCCCATACAACGAGGCTGCTTCAAAATGACCCATTACCTAGTTAAGTAACTAGTAACTAGTAAGAATTCACCAAAACATTCATTTGACTTTTTTTCCCCACAGAATTGATCAGCGGTTTGATTAAGTTATTGGATCAAAAGGACAAGTGTATACATAGTCTCAAAACCGTTCATTGAAAAGAAAAATATTGTTTCTAGAAAAAATAACAAGATTAGATAGATAGCACAAAATGAACTATCATCCCAAAGGAGCATTCAGAGGCTCTTTACTAACAGAATATATCACAAAACAATGCCATGAATTTCTCCATCTTAAGGGTAAGAAAAACTTTCTAAAGCCAATTTACATTAAATTTTATCTATGCTTTTATTGACATAACCAACTATAGCTGCTGTGCTGAATATTTGGCCTATCTATTGTTAAAACTTTTGCTCTAATTTAGCATCTTTATTCCAGGAAAATACACGGTCTGCATCAGATTTATAACTTCTAAAATCTTTGGCCAAGTTTGCAACTGGAGCTTTGAAAAAGTTCATTCTAACTACAAGGATATTTACATCACATATTTTCATGGTAAGTTTCAGGGCTCAGGGCTCAAGCCCTTCTTCCACCTATATTCACTTTCTGGGTGACCTCATCTAAGCTCATAGCTTTAATACCAGCATATGTTAGCTACTCCCAAATTTAAAACTCCAGACTCACTAACTCTACTTAGATGTTGGATAGCATCTCAGACTTCCTTTGGTAAGACTTCCTTAATAACTTGCTCTTCCCAGTCTCCCCCAACTCAAGTTGTTGGCAATTGATATCTATTAATGCGCAAAACCTTGGCATCATTGCTGACCCTTTTCTGTCTCTCATATTGACTTTTCAGTCAATAAATCTTGTCAGCAAGGCTTTCAGAATCTATCTAGAATCTGGTCACCTCTCACACATCCACAGCACCACTAAACCACAATCCCTTCTCACATGAATGACTACAATGGCCTCCTAATGCATCTCTTCCTTATTCCCATCGGTCTATTCTTAATCAGCAGTCAGAGTGCACCTGTTAGACACAGGCAAGATTGTATCCCCGTTCTGCTCAAAGCCCTCCAGTAATTTGTCATCTCACTCAGAGCAAAAGCTGAAGGGTGGCATTCTGCCACCCTAAAAGATATCACCTGGGCATAAGAGTTATTTTAAACTAAAGGTACTTTTAAAAGCAGCAGGTGCAAGAAGGGCGTTCTGACCCTCTGCCTTTCTTCCCAAAGGCAGCAGATAAAACCAGAAGGAAAACAAGATTCCTGTCAAGATGGGAAGCTGAGACCAGGGGAAAGTTATACAAACAACCCTTGTTAAACATACCCTTATCTTCCTCATCACTTCTCCACCCAACTAAGTACCCTAGCCTAAGGCTCTTTGCCTGTCATGTTTTCACAATTTATTACACTTTGTCCAATTCAGTATATAAGTGTTCAGCTTTAAGTCTTTGGGTCCTCATTGCCTTAGGAGGGCTCCTGTGTGATGTAAAACTTACATTAAATAAATTTACATGTTCTCTCCTGTAATCTGTCTTAACGTGAATCTAATTCTCAGGCCTGCCAAAAACCCTAAGAAAGCAGAGGTAAAATTCTGCCTCTCCTAAAAAAGCAAGCTTTTAAAAATAGGTTGAAGAAAACTAATTCTATTACTACTATGATAATATATAACAATACTAACCTAATTGTGTGCTTTAGGCACACATCATATGAAAATCTACGTTTCATCCACCCTAATACTTAAAGATGCTTATTCATTCTACCAAAGGATGCACTACGCCTTGATAAGCAGCAAATAGACCTAGTGGTTTCAAATGTTTTGATTTAATAAAAAAAGACATGGATACAGATTAAAAGCAAATTATTTTTGGAAACATTTATAGCAAAAAATGAAGTAGGCCTATACTGATTCACATATATTCTCAATACTTTTCCAGCGGTTATAATGGATTTCTGTTCATGTATCCATTCTTCTGACTTGTTGCTTCTGTGATCCATGCTATCTATTTTTATTAAATTAGTTTTCTATTTATAAAAACACATGCTTACTGCAGAAACTTGGTAAGTATGGGAAGGATTTAAAAAAAAAAGGAAACCATCCACATTACTGTGATCACAGATAATTATTCAACACTTGGTACAGTTCTTTTTCTATCTGCTCTGTTTATTTTTATTTAGTTATGTCGGACTGAGATAAAACTTGGCATTCCAATCACCATCCTCTAAGATCTCATAATTGCAGAGAAGTTGGGAACTGAATTTGCCAAAACCTCCTTCCCTGTTATGGTTCCCAGTGAGAGTTTCCTATGAGAGAATCTACTTGAAGTTTAGAGGGTAGAAGAGTCATTATTCTCCTGGGACTGTTGTGGCTAGATGTTGGGGCTCATGTGAAATTCACTGAAGCTTCCCAGTGAACCCTTGAGGACCAGCTGCCTTTGGTCCTTGGGCCAGAAATCTTCAGTGTTGACTTCTTACCTTCACTGGCGGTTTCTCTAACCTTTACCCCCGACAACTTTTCCAAAAGTTATGTAAGTTATAAAACTTTTCTAAAATTTATGTATGTCCCCAGTTCTATATTAAAACTTTAATTTTTAATTTTTTTTTTGAGATAGGGTGTCACTCTGTCGCCCAGGCTGGAATGCAGTGGTGTGATCACAGCTCACTGCAGCCTTGATCTCCTGGGCTCAAGCAATCCTCCTGCCTTAGCCTCTCAAGTAGCCAGGACTACAAGCATGCATCACCGTGGCTGGATAATTTTTCTGTTTAGTAGAGATGAGGTTTTGCTATGTTGCCCAGGCTGGCATTAGAACTTTTACACCAGTAATACATAGAGTGGTTTCTGTTTTCTTGATTGACAAGTTAGGATTACATTGAGTATATACTTCTGTATCATATATATTCAGGTAGCATTTGTATGTGAGGATTTTCCCACACTACTTCAGAGGTTGTTTGTGAGTTTCTTTTGAGACAGGGTCTCATTTTGTTGACCAGCCTGGAGTGCAATGGTGCGAAGCATGGCTCACTGTAACCTCCACCTTCTGGGCTCAAGTGATCCTCCAACCTTAGTCTCCCTAGTAGTTGGGACTACAGGCATGCACTACCACGCTCAGCTAATTTTTAAATTTTTTTTGTAGAGACAGGGTCCTAGTATGTTGTCCAGGCTGGTCTCAAACAATCCTCCCATCTCTTCACCTCCCAAAGTGCTGGGATCATAGGCATGAGCCATCGTGCCTGGCCTCGGTATTGTTTTAAATGGTTGTACTGTGTTAACCTCTACCCCATTAGCAATGCTGAGTATAAAGACAGTATAAGCTGTATTTTAAATACAGCTGATCAGACCTCAGAGTGTAGTCTGTTAAAAGACAAAGAAAAATACTAACTGTCCCACATGGTCACTAGACCAAGAAGTTTATACTCATTAACACAGTAATCAGTCACAGGCTGCCCTTCAGAGGAATGAACATTATTATATTACTCAAGTACTCATGGTCCATGTTGGTTCAATTTTAATAGTTTCAGTTATCCAAAGGTGTCACAGAATACCCATAATGATGACTAGGCATACATTTTACCTTTGGGTAGATACCCCATCCTTTTATTCTGAAAGTAAAAGTAATTCAGATTCTTTTGGGAAGGGGATTAGTTTAAATATTAATAAACAGAATATAAACAGGCAGATGGATGGGTAGATAAGTGGTATTCAGGAATTTGAGGGCCTGGGACAGAACTAGATTCTTTTTCCTTCTTAGGTTTTCTTTCCTAACTTGCTGCTTCCTTCTATCAACCTTATCTGATCTGTAAGAACCTGGGAAAATATAAGAAACTGATGGCTGTGGGAGGGAGTAGAAGAAGACTTTTCTAGGTCTTAGAAGATGCATTAATTAAAAGTTGCTAAGGCTTGTAATTAAGAATCAAGACCCCTGGAGGTGTAGGTTATAGAACTTTGTGTAATTATCTCCGTTGAACCAAATTGCACCAAATTTCAACCTCATAAAGATTCTGAAGTTTTACAAAGTAACAGAAGAGTGAAAAGGAAAACTTTAAGCCTTAACAAAAAGTTACTTCAATTGGCATATTAAAAATATATTCATACCTTATCTTCTTGACTCCGAAAATAATATAATGTCTTTCCTATTAGTGTACACCAGACTCTCTTGGAGTATCCATGTTTTACCTGAAATCATATTACAATGAATTGTAAATGTAGCCCTGAACTCTGACACCTTAAAGTATAGCTTATACACTCTATTTGAGTTTCTATAAGTATTCATTTTGCCCAGATATAAGTAATACTCCGAATAGATTGTCCAATGCTGTTTAAGATTTACCTGCTGCACCTTGAGCACACACAGACATAAATATGGAAACAATAGACACTGTGGACTACCAGAGGGTAGAGGGAACCGGGGTGGCCAGGTTAAAAGACTACCTATCAGGTACTATGCTCACTTCCTGGATGATGGGATCTATACTCCAAACCTCAGCATCATACAATATTCACATGTAACCGATCTGCATGTACACCCCCTATATCTAAAATAAAAGTGGAAAAAAAAGATTTACCTGTTAACAACAGTAGAATGGTAAGTTTTGCTTTGGTGCTCACCATTCAACATATAACGAATGTTTACTGTGCCTCAAATACTATGCCTAGGACTGACACTTCACAGATGGATAAAGAAGCCGGTGGAGGGGTGGATAATGAGAAATTATGAAACAGGACACAATGTATGTTACCATGAGTGATGAATATCCTACAAGCCCTGACAGAATCACTATGCAATCAATGCATGTAAGAGAACTCCTTGTACCCCATGAATGCATTATAATAAAAAAAGAGAAAATGTAATTTTACCAGTAAGAATATTTCATACTTTCCACATTTTACAGATTTCCGACAACCCTGTGGCTCTCTAGGTTAATATTCTCATGTTAGAAGAGAGAAGATGAAAACCTAAAGAATTCTAGTGATTTCCTAAATGTAAAAATTTCATTAATTTGAAACATTTGATGCCTTCTTAGAAGTAATCATACAAAGTAATAAAATAATGTTAAAAGCTATTACTGTAAACTGAAAACCTCCTATCTATCAGGTACTAAGTTAAGGGATTGGGACGGAATTTGAACCTAGCTCTTGACTTTGAATAGTCAGTAACTGATCTAGGTCCTGGAGAAACAGATTTGAACCGCATACAGTCTCCTTTCTCAGGAAGTTCACAGCCTTGTGAGGACAGACAATTACATCAGCAGTATGCTAAATATCTTCATCAAGAGTGCAAAGAGGCTGGGCACAGTGGCTCACGCCTGTAATCCCAGCATTTTGGGAGGCCGAGGTTGGCAGATCACCTGAGTTCAGGAGTTTGAGACCAGCCTGGTCAACAGGGTGAAACCCCCTCTGTACTAAAGATACAAAAATTAGCTGGGCATGGTGGCATACATCTGTAATCCCAGCTACTTGGGAAGCTGAGGCATGAGAATTGCTTGAACCTGGGAGGCGGAGGTTGCAGTGAGCCAAGATTGTGCCACTGCACTCCAGCCTGGGGAACAGAGCAAGGCTCTGTCTCAAAAAAAAATGTTGAAAAGAAAGAGTGCAAAGAGTTCACATTTATATACATTTTTGTGGAAGATATTTTACCGATATTTTTACTATTGTAGGTTTATCATCACTTCGTGGCTTTATGAAGATTCTTACTGTGAGTTACCCCCCTGCCCTAGTCCTGCCCAGATATATATAGGCCTTGAAGATTTTTACCAAACAGTCCCAGCTATGTTCTCCAGCCTAGAAAAACACAAAGAATTCCATTCACACTGATGAGTGAAATTTAGAATGAGCCCTATTGCCCCAAACCTAGAATGTGTGGTTGCACTTGCTCTTTAATCCACTTCATTGGCAGAAGCCCCACCCATCTAGCTCTGCCAATTTCTGCCTTGGGGCCAGACCCTCTCCTGCAACAGTGAGAGTAAATTCAATCTGAAGAAGCACACCACCTCAAAACCAAGACACTGGCCAGTACAACTAAAGCCCAAAATCCTATTGTCATACTTGCCCATGATGGTAAGAATTATGGAGAAAAATGAAGCAGGAAAGAAGAGGATGTGCTTGTGGAAGGAAGAAGGGGTATTACATTTTGAAATCAGGTGGACGAGAGGGCCTCACTGCCATTGAGCAAGCCCCCGAAGGCCCTGAAGGTGTAGATGAGCTGTGCAGTCATCTGGGAGGAGAGCAGGGGCATCTGGTGAGAGATGAGACCCTGTGGGTCTGAGAAGGAGCAGCAAGGCCTGTGTGTCTCAGGCTGAGTGAGTGAGGGGAGAGGTTATCGGGGAAGGGACTGGGAGTGGGATAAGGTATGATACAGACTTTAGGATCCCATAAGCCTTTGTGATAACTTAAATTTAAATGGATTATTCTGGCTGGGTGCGGTGGCTCACACCTGTAATCCTAGCACTTTGGGAGGCCAAAGCAGGCAGATCATTTGAGGTGGGGCGTTAGAGACAGACCTGGCCAACATGATGAAACCCTGTCTCTACTTAAAAATATAAAAATTAGCCAGGCATGGTGGTGCATGCCTGTAATCCCAGCTACTCAGGAGGCTGAGGCAGGAGAATCACTTGAACCTGGGAGGCGGAGGCTGCAGTGAGCTGAGATAGAGCCACTGCACTCCAGCCTGGGAAACAGTGAGACCCCATTTCAAAAAAAAACAAAGGACTATTCTGATAGCAATACATTGATCAGAATACAAATTACTGTCAAAATAGATTTTACAGTAGACAAGTCACTATACTAGAAAAGGACTGGCCATGGAGGTCTAATGAACCAAGGTTTAAATTGCTTCCACTTCTACCATGCACTAGATGGATGTGCTCAGGAGACTGACTTAACCTCTCCGTTTCTTTGTCAGTAACTTGGGATTTTTGTACATTTCACTGGGCTGTTGTGAGAACCAAATGAGAAAATGTAAATAAAGGATGTCAGTAGTTACTCAATAAATGCTTCTGTCGTTACTATGAATAAGAAGTAAAACATGTTTTCTTTTAAACCCATAAACCCAGTCAGCCTTTGGGCTTTCAAAGCTATGGTTTAAGCAAACGAGTAACTCCACTACCTAACGGTCTGATGGATTTAGAATGCTGTTTGAGAGAAAACAAAAAATGTTTCATTTGAGACATGTTTCAGTATGATTGAATTCAGAAATGTATTTACAGACAAATATCCTGGAAGCTTTAAATAGCGTTGTGTGGGGTGCCTTTTTTTTTTTTCCTTCTTCTTTAAACAAGCTCCAGAAAGAAGTCTCATAAAAATTGATGTATAATGCATCTGGCTATAGACAGTGTACTTCTGAAATGATTTATCTTTAAAAGAGAACAATGTGTGCCTTTGAAGAATTGCAAATTAATGAAGACCTCTGCCAATTCACTGTAAAAAGCCATGTTTTAACAATCTATCTTTATACATAAATCTTGCACTAGAATTTCTTTTTCCTTTTTTATTGAGATAGAGCCTTGCTCTGTCACCCAGGCTGGAGTGCAGTGGTGCAATCTTGGCTCACTGCAATCTCTGTCTCCAGGGTTCAAGTGATTCTCCTGCCTCAGCCTCCCAAGTAGGTGGGACCACAGGCTCATACCACCACTCCCAGCTAATTTTGTTGTCGTTGTTGTTGTTGCCTGAGACTGAGTTTCACTCTTGTTGCCTGGAATGCAATGGCATGATCTTGGCTCACCACAACCTCTGCCTCCCAAGTTTAAGCAACTCTCCTGCCTCAGCCTCCCGAGTAGCGGGGATTACAGGCATGTGCCACCATGCCTGGCTAATTTTGTATTTTTAGTATAGATGGGTTTTACCATGTTGGTCAGGCTGGTCTCAAACTCCTGACCTGAGGTGATCCTCCCACCTTGGGCTCACAAAGTGCAGGGATTACAGGCGTGAGCCACTGTGCCCAGCCTAGAATTTCTTTAAACTCTGACTTACTCTTTAAAAAATTAGAAAACAAATTATACTAGAAGAATTCTCATGAAAATTTAAAGGCAACTTCAAATCTCAAGGTGAACTAATTAAAAGAATATTTTTTTACCATGCCTCCATAACAAAAGTAGTTCCTAACAGTTTTGTTTGAAATTTTGAAGACAAACAGTATATCATATCCCAATTAGCCCTTGCCACTGCACAAATCATAAGCTCCTACGGTATTCTCTCCTTCCCCATAATCTAATCCCTGTGGCGTTCTCCACCACAAATCCTGCCACCAGCCTTGCTGACTTCACTCTCTAGGTGACACTCTCGGATAATAACAGCTAGCATTTTTGTGTGTGTTTATGATGTGCCAGGCACTGTTCTTTTTTTATTATTATTATTGTACTTTAGGTTCTGGGGTACATGTGCAGATCATGCAGGATTGTTGCATAGGTATATATATGGCAAGGTGGCTTGCTGCCTTCATCCCCCCCATTACCTCTATCTGGTATTTCTCCCCCAGTTATCCCTCCCCATCCTCCCTACCCGCCAATTGACCCTCCCCAACCCCCCCCGGCAAACTGACTGTGGTAAGTGATGCTCCCCTCCCTGTGCCCACATGTTCTAATTGTTCAACACCCGCCTATGAGTGATAACATGTAGTGTTTGGTTTTATGTTCTTGTGTCAGTTTGCTGAGAATGATGGTTTCCAGATTCATTTATGTTCCTATGAAGGACATGAACTCGTCATTTTTTATGGCTACATACTACTCCATGGTGTATATGTACCACATTTTCCCTATCCAGTCTATCATCGATGGGCGTTTGGGTTGGTTCCAAGTCTTTGCTGTTGTAAACAGTGCCACAATGAACATACGTGTGCATGTGTCCTTATAAAAGAACAATTTATAATCCTTTGGATATATACTCAGTAATGGGATTGCTGGGTCAAATGATATTTCTATTTCTAGGTCCTTGAGGAATCACCACACTGTCTTCCACAATGGTTACACTAATTTGCAAGCCCAACAGTGTAAAAGTGTTCCTATTTCTCCACATACTCTCCAGCATCTGTTGTCTCCAGATTTTTTAATGATTGCCATTCTAACTGGTGTGTGACGGTATCTCAACATGGTTTTGATTTGCATTTCTCTAATGACCAATGATGATGAGCATTTCTGCATGTTTCTTGGCCTCATAGATGTTTTCTTTTGTAAAGTGTCTGT